ATTTTTCATATAAAAATACGCCGTTATATATTATGGATGGTTCGTTAACGTAGCCGGTACAGCAGATCTACCGCTCTTCAATTAGCACAAATGTGCCGCTTTGCTACCACTACTCCATGATCACCAGGCCGTCATTGAGCATACCTTCTCTTGAAGGATTTATCCAAATACCCGAAGCTAATCTTCGATATCTCATTCAGTCAAACTTGCTCTGCCTTATGTGATCAGTCTGGCCTCGCTCATACCCGAATACTCGCAGAGATAGTAAAAGATATGGTCTCCTTCTATATGCTATATACTCCTTTATAATATATCTACATAATAAAATTTGAAAATGTTATATTTTTACAATATTATACACAATTCAAATAATCTTAACTTTATTTAATTCATGAAAATATTTAAACTTCTATATTAACAATTTTAAAAACAAAAAACGTCCCTGGTAAATTCCAAAAATAAATGTTGTAGAAAATTTATAATATAAAACAAAAAAAAAAACAAAATTCATCTACATTGTGTTAACCGTTATAACTTTTATACAGAAATAAAATTCAATGTAGACTTGTTGACTTCAAGGCTCCTTAAAGGCGAGATTTATATCATATAATGAGAATGATGCTTATTCATCGAAATCGTGAATAATTTTTTCATTTTTCGTCACAAATCCTTATACAAAAAAAAAACGAGATACGCAGCATATAAAGAAAATAAAAATACCACACACACACAAATATTTTTACATCCGTTTTTATTTGGAAAAATAATAAATTTTCAAAGAGAAAAAGAAAAACAATAGCACATTAAGTTTATTTTTTTTTGTGTGTGTGTGGTTTCACTTAAGTTCACAGAAATGACAAAAAACATGTTATGTATATAGACACACATTCATACATATATACATATGAATTTACAATACCATAAATTTTCAACTATAAAATCGATCTTTTTTTTTAAAAAAAAATTCGAAATGCTTTATAAGCAAAAAAAATTTGAATTTAAATTTGAAAAAAAAAATTTTTTTTTAAAATGTGATTCGAAAATAATTGACACTTTTCGTTCTACAATATAAAAATTAGAAATCGGAACCAATAAATTTCAATTATATGTGCACATGCATACATATATACACAAATTTAAAAATTTTATTGAATTGAAAGTGTTATTTATGGGAGTTCGACAAATACATTAATGTCAGGCTCATTTTATTTTATTTTTACATTTGGATCATATCATGCAAAATTATATTGAAATTATGAATAAAGTGCAATTTGATACACTGACGATAATCTCTATACTTTATACTTACTGTAAAATACATACTCAAAGTAAGAATAATTATGGAACATATATTTCATACTCTGCAGAATTTATTTCATGAATACATGAATAGCCTCCGCATTTGGTTTCAAAAAAAAAGGTATTGTGATTGTTTAATTTTCGGCCACGCTCTCAAACGTTGATATACTGTAAATAACACGAACAATGTTAAATGTAAAGACATAAAAGTTTAAGCGTTACAGATTTATTAAATCAATGACTTCATATACATATACATGCACTCTGCAAATGCTCGAAAGGTGTGAAATTATAAGGATTTTCAAAAAAAAATGACATTTCGCTACAACTATATGAATAATTCGCTGACAGTACTCGATAGATATTGTCAGCTGTTGAAACCCAAATCGACACGTTTTCAAAAAGAAAATAATTAATAATCATGCGTTAGCATTGTCTGGTAACTCTGATTTCATTTTCAAAGAAATAATATACAATAATACTGCCAACCTGCAAAAGGTATTCAACTTCAGCAGTACGCTTTGGATGTAATAGAACCTATAAGAGTTTTTAATTGAGCTTATACAACTTAAAAGCAAAGGATTAACAATATAATTTCAATACAATTAAATTCGATAACAACTATATTCACCAATTTATTCAAAATCTACATTATACGTAAAATAATGCAGTTCAATTTTTAATTATTCATTGTTAAATATACAGCCACACCATCAGTTCTTCTTATTTATACATCCTTTATGTTTCTCTTAGATTCTCTTCTTAAAAATTGCATATTTTGTGGCAATATATTGTAAATGCTCTACTATAAGTATGTATAAAGTTTGTTAAAAGATCAATGTAATTTGCAAATTTTACGTTGCCAATATTACGAGCATTATTAAAAAAATTGAACAACTGTTATCATATATGTGTTTGCATGGTATACAGTTAAGTGGTAAAAATTTTATTTGTTGACATATGGCTGACTTTCGTCTTCCTTAATTTATTTTCTTTTTTTTTTTTTTTTATATAAAGATAATAATATATACAATTGAAAGAAATATGTATAAGAGAATTTCAATTTTGTTAAACAAAAAAAAAATCATTTTCTTTGTGAAAATGTGACGCCACATGTTCTCTCTCATACACGATTATACACAAAATATTGTCGGTTTTTTGTACAAAAACGATTTTCGGTATTACGTGTTATAAATATTTAATTAAACTTATAACGCTAGTATCTGTCAATTGGATTGGAAATCAATAAAGTGAGTAATTGTGGGACGGTTATTACTAACTGACAAATGCCTAGATAAAAGCGGTACCATAAACGATCTCTATAGCGGCGGCTGCGATGCTGAGGAGGAAAAAACGGCTATCAACTCCATACGGTCACATTTGATGCTGCCGGATCCCAGACAGAGATTTTTTTGGTATATGGAGTACGGATTTTAAATGTAATGTAAATGCTAAGAACCTTATCCAATTTTCAAGGAATTTAGGACGACTCGGGTAAGGAAGGCAAAAAGGCGAAATCCTACCGTACTACACCAGACCTAAGTGTACCCGTCGACGAGCCACGTCACTCTTATCTAATCTAACTTTGTGGTTTAAAGAAGTGGAAAAGACTAAAATTCTTGGGAAATTTGACGATATTTTTTATTTACTTCTGAATCTCAAAATTAAGATTATAGAAAAATTGCAATATTCCTTGATAATTTTTATACAATACTAGCATAGAATACACAAAAGTTTTTAACGCTAGTCTGTTAAAATATTTTAGTATTTAACAACACGTTTTTGGATGATTTATCAACCAGACCTCACAGTCAATAAGTCCAACTATATTATTTTTTATTTCATTTTTCTGCCACAAAACAAAAATAAAACAAAAGAATGGATACTACTTTATTTTTTTACATAAAAAGGGAGTATTTTAACAATTTTTCTTCTACACATGTTGTATTCGAATCTGTCATCCTTCTGATATTATACATTAAATCAATAACAATTTGTACAAGTATATAAAAACGTATGAAACCTATTTATTAAAAATGTCATCATCTTCTCCTACTTCTTTTTCCGATATTTCAAATATTTATTTGTATTTTGGTATGTGATTATGTTTTTTCCCTATATATAAAATAAAAGCTGTGGTAATTGAGGACGATGCAGAATGCATAATATTTTTTTTTTGTTATTTTTTACTAGTTAGAAAGAACACATACCTTTTGTGTTTAAGTTAAAATGCCAAAAAACCTGTTGAAATCTCAATTTTTGTGGTATATATTTAAAAGGAAGGAAACACTTATAAGTCATAGAGCCAAATTTTGTTATAAAAAAAAAAATATTCTAAATCTTTTGGTTTGAGGTGAAAAAGAAATAAATTTTTATTATTTACTTATGACTAAATCTGTCATTTTACTTAAATAATTTCGTTACGGTCATTGAAAAATTGTGAAAATTCAAGGCGTAAACAATAAATTTTATGAGAAATTATAATAAAAAAAAAAAATTTGAAGGGTAGTGTTTTATTATGTTTGACAAATTAAATTCATATAATCTTAATATGAAGGTTATATCTCTGCCTCCCACTCTCCTCATAACACTTCAAAGTACTCAAATTTTTTTAAATTAGAATTTTTCCGAATACTTAAAGTAAACGAAAGAAATAAAATTTTAGATAGAGTTTTTTTTAAATATTTTTTATGTTATTAGAGCTATAACCCTATATAGTCTCAGCGACAGCTTTGTAAAAAGATTAATCAGTTGCATATATCATCAAATTTCATATGTCCAAATATTACCATATCTCCTCCTTGCATCTTAAATAAAATTTTTACTAAACCCGAATGTAAAGTCTCATTCTACCACATCGCTTTAACAACTCCTTTCTGTATAGCCAATTATGGGTATTACAAGATCCTATTTGTAGAATCCTGAATTTATATATAAATTAAATAAAATGATGCCAACTTGATTTCCCAAAAAAGAAAGTCAGTATAGAACAAAAACTTAATTTATGGAATTTTTAAAAAAATTTGTAAATTTCAAATTTTTTCTTTATTCCAATTATTAAATATCTAATTCAATATCAAATTCTAATTCAATACCAAAAAATAAATTCATAAATTGTAAATTATTGGAACCAAAAATTAAAACCAAACAAAATTATTGTTCAAAGATCACCAAATACTCATTTAAATAAGAAGAATACGAGGACTACATTTAAAAATTCAAATAAATACTTGCTTACTACCACAATATTCTAAATATTAAAATTACCTCACATGAATGAAAGTATGTATACTGAACGTTCTATAATTCCTTATAAGTGACTATGCTATATACTAGAATTGGAATAGAAAGATTCGGATACTTTATTATTTCTGCTTCCGTTGAAAGTTTTTTTAAGGAATTGCGTTAGAATCTTTTTTTTCTACATAAAAATTAAACAAGAAAAAAAAAGTAATCTCTTTCATAGCAATCATATATATACTGTGGCGGAAAAGAAGATGTCCTTATACAACATTGTCTTGAGAGAATCCTTGAAAAGTTTTTCTCTTTTTTTTCTTTGCTTTTTTTTTTTGTTATTTCATAATTAAAATTTATTTATATAACAACAAAATAATTTTTTTTTCTTCTATACTAATCTCTTGAATATTCATTACTTTATATATTTTCTTTTACTTTTTCTTCCAGAAACTTAACGACCCACCAAGGATATAACTGCAAACAAAACAAAACAACAAAACAAAAAAAAAGGAAACTTTAACATTTTTAAAAGTTTACTTTTTTCGAAGCAATTTTTTTTGTTCTTATCATTTTATAATTTTTATTTTTTTATTTAATAAATTAAAAGAAAAAGAAAAAATTTTCATATATAAATTAAAGGAATAGAATATTATATAAGTTTGTTAAACAACTATACTCTAACTGAATTTATAAAAAACAAAAAACAAAGAAAAGAAAAAAATTATACACGATTCACAATTTAGAAGAAAAAAAAAAAACAAAAAAAAAAGAAGAATCGCTCTCATCAAATTCGGAAAACAAAATCATAATTAACACAAAAAAAAATTAATAAAAAAAAAACACTACATAGCCATACTAGAATAGATAATTAAAAAATTCAAAAAAATTCAAAAAATAAAAAAAAAAATTATTTAATTAATTTTAAAATGAAAAATTCCATTCAAAATTTCAATATTTAAATTACACTAGAAAAATTTATTATATAGGAAATTATTAGTATAAGAATATAAAAAAAAAAAAAAAACAAAAAAGAAAATGGCTTCACCACCAGACAGTCCAATTGAAGAGGTTGTCTATGAATTGGAACCAACACGTGTACCTAAACCAATTCCAGTTGCACTGGAAGATTTATGTAGGCAAACAAAATTTTCACGTCAAGAAATACGTGTAATGTATCGAGGATTTAAAACAGTAAGTACATAACATATTTAAAATAACTGTTTCTACATATATATATACATAAAATTGAATGATACATATTAATGAAAATATTACATAGAAAATAAATAAAAGACTTAATTTCACAAATAATTTATTCCAATTGTCTTACACACAAAATAATCTTGAACTAAACTAACTGCTATTATAGTTCTTAGTCATGAAAGGAGTTCATGCTTTGGATGCAACAAAAGGTGTTTTTAAATTACTTTGTTATCCCAGTGTTGATATTTATTCTTTCCCAAACAAATAATGGCAGGCTCGCTTAAAAGGCTGACCATGTGTCTGAAAAGATATTTAGATCAATAACGCAGATTATTTTGTTCGCAGTTCAGCCTAAGTCGTTTATATTGAAGATTCTTTCGCGTACTGAATAGAAGAGAGGGTTATATTATTTCAGAGAGTTTCATTATAAAAAAATTTATGATTACGCTCTATTTATACGATCCTTTCAAAAACAAAACAATAAATGTTCTCTTATCTTAAATTCTATTTTTAAGCGAAGGTGGTTGCGTTATAGGTATACGAGGTTAGTGTCATATATCTAGTCTGCGACATTTTCCTTGAAATCATGTAAAATATTTTCTAAGTAAGAATTACTTTCTCAAACTAACAAGATGTGTGCTCATCGGTTAAGAGTATAATTAACGGATATGTTAAGCAATAACCGGGTTTTAATATAGTTAAAATTAACAATTAATCACCAATTACAAAATAAAATATAAAAGTTGTATAGAAGAGAAGGGTGGTTCTTAAAACGGCTAGTAAGAACATGGAACGATTGCTGAGACTCGCATCTGGGGGACATCAGAACGTGCCTAATTGCGACAATAGAAGTTATTTTAAGGTTAATCACTTTGAAACTTGTTGTTGAGCGAAGACTAAACTTGTTGTTGAGGTAGACACAACCGGGTCACTCTGTGCTGGATACCTTTCAATGTGGACATAGAAGAAAATGAAGCAGTTGAAGCGCTGATAAAGAGATGAACCGCCTCTCTTAAAGTGCTCTCAGAAAATAAAAAAAAATGAAAAATACAAAAAATTAATGAATTAGTAAATTGCAAAAATTTTGAAAATCATTACCGGTGTAGCATTCAGTATATTCCAAAATTACTTATAAGAATCACTGAAAAGCAATTTAAAATCAAAAATTTTTTAACCGTAACGAGTATATTTTACACATAATTACGAATTTCATTAATAATTCATTAACATAAAATTTCAATTTTTCTAATTATAATTTTAATCTACCAATTATAAATGGTAGATTAAATTATAAAATCATATCTCATATTGGCTTTCCTTATGTCATTATCAATTAATCAAAATCGTATATTATTCTCATTATATTATTTACTAAATAAAATTATTTATTGCTTTTTTTATTAACCACTTTAATCTACACCATTTAACAAAAATTTTCAAAACGAAAAGAGTACCATATTTTATTTTTTTTATAAGTTAATGAATAAATTTTTCTTTTCTTAAAATCAACTGCATACATGGCATATATACATAATACATTTAACCCTTTACAAACAAACACACTTCTTTGTATTTTATATTTTCATTACTTATAGCACAACAAAGGATAAGAAATAATGAAATTTTCAAAAAAAAAACAAAATAAAGAAACAAAAAAAAATTCGGTTGACTTTGTTATAAAATTTATGAAATATATGGTTAACCCTCTTAATAGTATTTAACTTTCAATTTAATTTAATATTCCAAAAAAAAAAAAAAACAAAAATCAAACAAAAAAAAAATAAAAATTAACTAAAAGTTCCAAAACAATTTAAAATTCAACCCCTCATTTTATCAACCAGCACTTTCTTCTCTTCCCCACCCCAGCTTTTAATATATACGTTTATACCGTGAACCCATTACTTATACTACACGTGAAAGACAGAGAAGCACTTAGTAAAAATGCTTTAACTTATATTTTTCATGAATATTTTATATTAATATGGAAAAAATTAAAACAAGAAAAGCACAGAGCGCATATAATAATCTTCCATATACATAAACTAACATCCTGTCACCATCACCATCATCAAAACTATCATCATCATCATCATCATCATGAAACACTCAAAAGTAACTTAGTGTTAAAGCTATTAAATCCTCTCAAAAAAAATTTTTTGTCTCTTCTACCTCTTAACTAAATAATAATTAACGACAAAAGAATAACTAAAACAAAAAATAAAAACAAAAATTATTTAAAAACTAAAATAGTAACAAAACACGAATAACAGTAATCTTTTAAAATAATAAGAAAAAACAAAAAACAAAGAAACAAATTCGCTTTCTCTCTCTCTCATTTCTCATATTTACAGGAATGCCCCGAAGGAGTCGTTCATGAAGATTGCTTTAAGGATATTTATGCCAAATTTTTTCCACATGGAAGTAAGTTTTTCAATGCTCTTAACCCATTATTGTTTTTATTTTTTTTTTTTTTCAAATTCTTCATTTTTATTTTTATTGTTTTTACTTAATTTTTTTAAATATTTAAAAATAATTTTTCATTTTTATTTTTATAATTTTTTTTATATCCTTTTTTTTTGTTGTAAATGTCCTTCCATATTTCTTGTTTTATTAATAAACAAACAAAAATGATGACAAATACTTAACATCTACACACATACAAACATTTATTTATTTTAATATTCATTTCAGATTCAAGTTTATACGCTCATTACGTATTCAAAGCGTTTGATGTCAACTGTAATGGTGCAATTAGTTTTCGGGTAAGTTTTTTTTTTCTGGTTATTTTTTTTTTTTTGTTTCTTTATATGAAAAACAAAAATGGGACCCATCATATTTATTACAAAATGTATATATATATTTACATATTTGTTATATCATGTTGTGTATCTAGAGGCGTATATTTACATATGTGGTGAAAATATTACAAAAATTTAGAGTAATCGTGTTAATCGAAAAAATTATAGAGTTTTGTTAATTGTTTTCGTTAAATTTAAGAGTAAAATTTCTCATTTTTGCACTATTCAACATGCCTGCTACAGTATCCTGCCTGATACTTTCCACACCGTTCATGTTGTATCGCATTGTACCTATAATCCTTATTGTAATTAATAAATAATGAAAATTTATACAATGTATAGTAAGATTCAAACTGCTCAAAATGGGTTTTATTTACACAGTAAGAAAGCAAACACTGAGGTGAAAAAATCGAAACTGCAATGAAGTTATTGTTAAAATTTTACTACGGTGTTAATAATGCAACTAAACTGTATAGTAAAACTTTTTTCACTACATTTTGAATACCATACAAATGTGTACGTAACACAACCATTAATTATTAGGTAAAGAAATAATGCATCGCTCAATAAGTCCGTAGGATGGCTAATAAAACAACATTTTGACATAATTTGATTTTATTCATCAGCATAGTCTCCTTTTAAGGCGATACAGTCATTCCAGCACTTCTCTAACTTTTCGATACCATGTTTGTAGAACGATTTATCTTTTGCATCAAAATATGTTTCAGCTTCGGAGATGATCTCCTCATTCGATCCAAATCTCTTTCCCTGGGGTATCCTTTTAAGAGCTGAGAACAGCCAATAATTTCTGGGGGCTAAATCAATTTAAATTCATTCATTTTTACCATCGTTTGCAATGACTTGTGACACGGTGCGTTGTCTTGATGAAAGAGCATTTTTTTCTTGTTCATGTGAGCTCGGTTTTCGTAGATTACACCCTTCAATCACTCCAATAATACCATGTAATATTCGCTGTTGATCGTTTTACCTTTCTCAAGATAATCAATGAACAATATACTATGGCTATCCCAAAATACGATGGCCATAACCTTGCCAGCAGAGATTTGAGTCTTTGGGCCCTTTATGTCCACTCAGCCGCCTGTCAATTTGACTTAGGAGTGAAATGGTGGATCTATGTTTCATACATTGTGACGTAGCGACGCAAAAAATTCTTTTTACCACGGTGAAATATGGCGAGACATGCCTCAGAATCAACAATTCGCTGTTGTTTTTGGTCCGGTGTTAGCAAACGTGGCACCCATTTCAAAAAAGCTTTCTCATACCCAAATGTTCGTGTAACATATTAAACACATATCTGATATTCTATCAACACATATCTAATCTGATAGCCTTCTGATATCTTTACGACCTCAGCAATCAATTTCAATTCGCGGTCGGATAAGACGATTTTATGGATTCTCTTGATGTTTTCTTCAGTTACTGCCAAATTTGGGCCCCGGTCGCCCAGCTTCAGCATCATCGGTGTTTGTACAACCAAGTTTAAAGTCAGTAAACCATTTTTCAACCATTTGCCTCGATTGAGCGGAGTCCGAATAATACTTATCAAGCCATTGTTTACAGTCTGCACCGTGCTTTTTCCCATCAAAAAGCAATACTTAATGTTATTGAAGTACTTGAAAACATATAGTAATAACCTATTGTCCCAGCACTTAGTACTGAATTCGACCAACCTTAGAACAATTTAGCATCATTACATTTAGGATGTAACGTTCTCTTTTGGAATTCTAATTAATATTCTAAAGTAATAACCTATTGTCCCAGCACTTAGTACTGAATTCGACCAACCTTAGAACAATTTAGCATCATTACATTTAGGATGTAACGTTCTCTTTTGGAATTCTAATTAATATTCTAAAGGGGTGCACGATTATATAACAATAATTAATAAAGACATCTTTGAATAAATGTTAATAAACCAGAAATTTTTTATTAATTTTTAATGTTTATCACATATTTAATTTTTACACTGAATACACCTACGATAAAATTAAATTTCGAAAACGGCAACACTCTTATGTATTTGAATATTTTAATATAAAAGCATAATATTTTGAATTTTATTCTATATACTAATATTTTTTATTTTTTAGAGGTTAAGACCTTTTTTTTTTGGATTCTTGTGTTAACTTTACAAATTATTTACTCAACTTTGAATATCTTTTACATTTCAACATACTAACTACATGTATATATGTATGTTATACATTTTACATATACATATAATTTAGTTAAATCTCATTCTAAATTTATATAATATTCTTCATGAAGGTTTAACGGTCAAGGATATTTTAGAATATTTTGTACACAGTAACAAAATGATAATAAAAGGGTATAAGTGAAAAAACAAAAAAAAAAATTGGTAGTGATATTTATAATAATAACATGCAACAATAAGATACTCGTAATAATTTAGTTAAAAATAGCCAGTCAACAACAATACCATAATTTTTTTATCAGTTTTTCCTTTTTTTTTTTATTTGTTTTTTTTCCCTTTTCACTTTTATTTGGTTTCCTTTTTTTTTATTTTTCTTATTCATAATCTTGACCTTTTAAAGGGTTTTTGTGTTTTCTCTTTTTTTTATTTTTTTTTTTTAATTTTTATTTTAACTGTTCTAATTTTTGTTATTTCTGAAAAGGATTTATGATAAATTTAACCAGCCCCCTTTTTATATTGGTCTAGATTTTTTTAATGAATGTTTCTAGAAAATGCATTCGTTTAGGTGTAAAAAGTATACCTGAAGGAAAAAAAAACACGTATGTACATATATGAATTTTATTGTTGTAAACTTGACTTCAAGGTAATTTACGCTAAAATAGTAAACAAAAAAAATTTACCTTAAATATAGTAAAAAAATTTAAATTAAATTGCTATTTTCGTCGGTATATCTAGCCTATGCTAGGTATATGCATACCATACAGGTAATTAAGAATAAATTTATGGGACCGCATTTAGTATAACAAATAAATATAAGAATAAATGAAGAATTAAAATACAGTTAAGATTAAAATAATGTTGTTTCTTGATAAAAATGTCAAATTACTTATACCATTTAAAATAGAAATTTTTTATTCTTTAAACTTGAATGCTTGATTCCAAAGTTTCCTGTACAAATTTATGCTATATAAATGTTGTGTCCAAATAAATTCTGAAAATTTCCCAATATAGAATTAATTGGCTGTTAAAATTTATTTTAAAATAATGGAAGAAATTAGTAACAATGCCATACATACAAAGTAAGTATATGTAATGAGCGGCGGAGTATATACAAAGTTTATTGCATATTGTTCATTGCATTATTAGCGGGAGCGTACAGTTTTTAGACATCGTATAGGGCACTGAACAAATAAGAAACGGGGCTGGTCTAAATTAACATATTTTTGTGTTTTTCTCAAAATCAAATTCCTTTCTGAGCTAATTTATGTTAAATGAACTCTAATTTGTTGACAAAGTTTTCAATATTATTGACCAAGCAATTTAATACTAGATCTTAATTTTCTATTATTTTATTTTAATGCAAGAACTATAAGCATTCCCACATCTCGACGTGGCTGTTAAGATCTTTTCATTACTTCAATTACATAAAAAACGACACTTCCTCATTGTATTCAATACAGCAATAAATTAAAGTATAAATTGCTGCAAAAACTTTCTATTTTATCCTACTCATACATATAGTACGCACAAATTGCAAAATTCTTCAGCTCAAAAAGGCAATTGCGAAACTTGTAAATTTTATATGAAGAAAAAATTTTAAAATTTATTCGCATGGTAAAATCTACAAAAATATTGCATAACAAGAGGCGCTTCTTTTTTGTTATTAAATAATACAATTTAATTTATATACTAAGAGGATTTTATCTATATGTAAATTACTCTTGACAAATTGTTAAAATTCTTTTTCATTTTCATTGCAAAATTTCACTATTAATTTTTTTGCTTCAATGGAACAAAAAACAAAGGCAAAATCGCGTACTTGCACATTGTGTACAGCTAGTTGACTGTTTTAATTTAAACTTATAAAATAGTTTAAATATTCCAAATAAAATTATTTTGCATAAAATTTTTTGTATCCTTAAAAAATAACTTTATTGGGCTATACACACACATTAATTAAGTGTACTCTAAATTTTTATAGATTAAAGTTTAAACACAAATTTTAAATAAATTAAAAAATAATTTCGTTTCGCAATAATATTAAAATTCAATTACTTATTTGACAAAAAAAATATCTAGTTGACTGAATGACTTTTTATTGCTAGCACCATACTGTTTTTTTTTTCTTTATAGTTTTTTTTTATATTGGATTATGCGGGCTATTTAAAGGTAGTAAAATCATGGCGTAATATTTACAATTTAGTGAAGTAAAAGTACTTTATTTAATAAATTTTATTTTTTTGCTAATTTTAAATATTTCAAAGCATACACCGAATTCACTCCTATACAGGGTATCTAAAACATTTAAAACAAATCGCTCAAGGAAAAATATTGAACGGTTTTGTAATTCGTCCATATTTTCAAGCCTCTTATAAATTATTCGCAAAAAATTTTTTATTATTAATGTTGTGCTTCAGATGACCTGTTAGAATATCAGGTCTAATACGAATAGCGCATTTAAGTTTAGTTCAAAATTAAATATATTTTTAATATGCTTTAAAATTGAAAATCAGAACATTCATTCATTTAAGTAGATCAATGTATAAATTAAAATTTTGGCTTATATGATCGAATTAGTTTAAACTAACTTTAATCCCTGTATTTTATTCTTTTGACAAATAGCAGTAAATATATAAAAATCATTACAAAAATCTACCTATTGCGAATATTTTAGAGCAAAAGTATTTTAATTAAATTTGGTTCAAACAAATTGTTTAAGTAGAACATTTACAAGTGAAAATAGAGCATTTTATTATTTCATAAAAATTGCATACTTAAAGGATGAGAATTAAACTTTTATTGATAAAATTATACGGTTTTTAAAATATAAGGTTTCTGAATAACTTGAATTACACAGTTTCAACTGACTATTCGTTTGCGGAGTTTAAAAATCGTTTGTTGGCATAATAAATGGCATACAATGCCATGACAACTACTTTCAGAGGTCTAACAAAAACTAATTTTCATATAAAATTGCAAACTATCATTTTAAAGAAATTTCGTAAGTTGACAAACGGGCGGAGAAGTGAACACGTTAACACAAACAAACATATTTTTTACCAATCTTGCTGAAAATATTTTAAAAACGAACTTTAACTTCCGAAACATCCTGTACAGTTTAAATAATTAAAAAATTTCAATATAGAATTTTTATTAGAAATTTATTTTATTATTAGACATTATGGGTAAAATTTTTAAGTGCTACAGGAAATGTTTAAATACCACGAATTGGTTTTTATTGTTTTTCTATTGAAATTTTATTAGACGGTAACCTTTGACCAGTTGTCTGCTTTCATTATCCTTTTTTTCCCTCATGCTTTATATGTATATACGTACGTATACTAAATTTAAATATAAAAAAAACAACAACAAAAAATTTAATATCCGCAAAATTATTTAAGAATATTTATAACTTTCAGGATGTAAATTTTATTGTTTAACATATTCAAAACATAAAAACAAAAAAATTCTTGAAGTTGGGAAAAATGTTAAATTAAAAGTTTAAAACAAGCAAAATAACTGTAAAAACAAGTAGATATAGAGCAGTAAAAATTTATACAAAAATAACTAATTTAATTAGAATAATTTCGCATAAGCATAAAAAAGTTTTTTTCGAAAAATTTGAAAAATTTGTTTCCGGAAAAGTTATAGAAGTAAATTTTTTTTCAATAATGAATCATGTTTATTGCTTTTTAAAGTAGATACTCAAGTACAAATATGGAAGCAGTTTAAAATTTACAACTCAGTTTATATGTTATTTGCAGTGATTTTAAAAAAAAGAAAGAGAGTAACAAAGAGCCTTATTCTAGTTGTCGCGTCACTTACGTGACATTGGTCGTTGTCGCTGTCACATCACTTGAAATGTGGTATTCTAGTTGTCGAGTGACGTGACTGCGAGAAATAAACGAAAATGAAACGTTTCAAGTGAAATTGATACATTTTAAAAAGAAATTTTGGCGAGTAAAGTTCAAACTAAAAAAAAAAAATTCGGTGTATATATTTATATTTTTAATCCGAGGGAAATAAAAAATGTCGTCATTTGCATTATGGTTTATGGATTCATCAGACTCCGAGAGTAATGAAATTGAAAAAAAAAAACAACAATTTTAATATTTTGTGACTTAAAGGTTTGCGATCATAAAATGCGCATCAGGTATGTGGATGCTAATAATCCGGGATCATCTCATGATTCCTTTATTGAAAATTACCTGAAATTTACATAAATTAATTAAATTTTAAATTAAACTTATGTTAAAATTACCTTCTGCCATAAGCTTTTCTGTTAGCTGGTTCCATTTTGCATCAAACTCGCATTTGCTTATGCAGCTATTCTCAGCAAATTTAAGGCCTTTCGCAATAAAGGCGTTCTCCGTCATAAAATTTCCCAATTCTTCAAATTGCTTCCTTGTTGTTACTTTTAAGCTAAAAATAAAAATTAAATTATATATTATATAGTTTAATTTATGTATTAAATTACAAAATTTATTATTTTTTATATTTTTATTATATTTTTATTAAATTGTTTTGTTTAAACTTACATTTTTGGTGTATCCATCTCGCTTGTCACTTGTTAAATACACTTCGACAAAAAACGTCGTTTCACTACGAAATGTGTCGCTCTACAACGACAACTGGAATATACCTGAAACACATTTTCCCGCTATTCCACGACACGTGTCACTGTAATCGCCATTTAGAATATCAAATTCAAGTCGTGACGACAATTGTCGCTCTACTTCGACAACTAGAATAAGGCTCAAAGATTAGGTGATTAAGTTTTTAAAGTTATTCTTCTGCAGCTTAAACTAGAAGTAGTTGTTCCATTTTAACAAACTAGTCTATTAAAAACAGATATCGACAATTTATTCTCAAATTTCTAAAATTTTTGAAATTAAATTTCCATAAGAATACAATAAATGAAACTGTTGCTCGTTGGAATTCAAAAAAATTTTGGGTTCAGAAAAAGTTTTTATAGTACTCGAAAGAGATTCTATAAAAGTTTCAAATCTAACTCCTAGCTAATTTGAAGATAAATTTCAAATATTACCCGTATTAATTCACTCATTTAAACATTGAAACCCAACCATTTTCATGTGGCAAGCTTATAATTTTCATTTTTCATTCAACATTTCAACACGAAAGATTCGAAATTCGGTTTGTTTTTTTACTTTTCACTTAAAACCACACTGCTATTAATTAAGTTGATTCTAGCATAATATCGAACTCTATTGAATCAAACAATTTTCAGAAACTCTAAATTTATTTTTGACAAATGACCAAATAAACAATTTTTTTAAGGTTGAAGAATATTTTAAGAGGTTTAAGAATTCATTATTAAGAACTTTATTAATAAAATGATTAGAGGAATGCGGCCGGTTTAATGTTAATTCGAAAACCAAGATAGATTTATTTATTACCATTACCTTTTTGTAAATGCAATTAATAAAAACTCTCTAACAACTCGAAAATACATATATATATATATACCTATATACAAGTTGTTTTTAGTTTCATTATTTAAAGGATTCAACGCCAATTTATGCTCAATTAAGAATTTCTCCTTGAGAACTATTAAAGAAATTTCTATTAATACTTAATATTTTTTTATTGAGAAAAAACAAAACGAAATTTATACCTTAAATTAGAATTCATTTAATATTAAACATTTTGTTACACATATTCTTTCCTTCCTTCCTTAATTCCTTCCTTTGATTTTTCTTCTCCAAAAATTTAGTTCTTCGTGCAAAAACAACACAAGAAAACGAAATATTGTTCTGTTCTACATCTAAATACAAAATTATCCTTTAATTTTATTTATTCCTTTTAACATTACTGCTTTCGTTTTTCTATTACTATTTTTTTTTTCCTCTATTAAATTTAATTATTAAAATATTTACATATAATATATACTTTTACTTAAAGTCATAAAAAATATAATTAAAATAAAATTAGGTCATTGGATTTACTTTTATGTATATAACAATTTTACATGCAAGGATAGTATATAGTATAAGAATTGTATAAATATGCTGAGTTCCATTTACAAAATTTCTTACATAGAGATAAAAAAACACATTAAGTAGTATGAAAATCAACATTATGTTAAACAAAAATGATATCTTTTAAATGAACCACAAAAAGTTTTTACACTTCACTTATACATGCAATTCACATTATGATAACATAAGACATACGTTAGGTGAAAGAGGGAGTGATTGAGAGCGGATCCGTCCATTTTTACAAAGACGGATCCAAACTCGATAGCGGGATAGACGGGTGAGTTTATTCCGTGCAATTGGATATTGAGCTCTCCTTCTTTTTACCGGATCACTGTAGTGTCTTGCAGACCGAGGTGGTCGCGATTATGGAGACTCTGCGTTGCAATGTGGTATCGGCCGGTAGCGCCAATATTTTCACTAACAGCCAGATCGCAATGAGAGTATTCGATTCTGAGATTTCCAAATCCAGGTCGTCTCTTAACGAAGTGGCGGGACAGTTCGAAATAAATTTGGATTTGGTCCCCGAACACAATAGGATTCAGCGGAACTGTAAGGCCGACGAGCTTTTAGGACATGTAACTACTCTCGGGATTCTACCTGAAAAGGAAGGCCTGCACATTTCCTCTAAGCACTCACATCTTTGGTTCTTAATTCTCTTGAAAAATTCTCTTAAAAAAATTCTTCCTTTATGCATAATTCTTTTTAAAATTAAGGGTATAATTGAAGTTGGTCTATTGAAATTATTAAAAATCATCATAAAAACGCCTATTTCATTTATAATTTAACTAGAAAGTTTTATAGATACATGTGATTCTTTTTATTTTAAATATTAGAAATGGTTACGCTGTAATAATTTCCAAAAAAACACAAAGGAAAAATATTATTATTCCAAGGAAAAATATTTTTAGTTTTCGTTCAATAATAATATTTTTTCTAATAAAAATCTTTTTAATTATTAATTAACATTCTTCGAATAAGTAATTATGCCTAGATTTTTATTATTTAAACTTGCATTCGTAAAAGGTACATTAAATTAAGATAAACACCTTATAAATATTTAATAATATGTATATAGAAAATTAATTGTTTCTAAAATAGTTCAATACAAATTATGCTTGCAAAATAAACAATATAAATAAGTGCTAAATACAAAAATCATATTTGTCCCAGGAAGAAAGTCTTTCTTGAAAAAATACTTCACTCTTTCTCTCATATATGGAATATATTGCTACACAACATATATGCAAAATAATCTTCAAATTACGGAGTATCCCAAAATTTATTTACAAATTAACTAAAATTAAAAAATTTATTTATCTTATCCACATCTTATCGAGTATTGGATACTTTACACAAAGCAAAACCAATCGTTAATAAAATAAAATTATTTGAACTGCACAAGACTCAAAAACAAGTTAGAAAAACAAATTTTTAGAATGAAATATTTTAAAAATCCAATAATTTTTACGAAAAACAAACACTTTTAAAATATTCTTACACAATATGCATAAGTAAATGAAAATTATTGTAAATTACGCTAAAATTTTTTTTTTCCACAATTTTTCTTATTTCAGGATTTATTAGTTACTTTATCAACGCTATTAAGAGGTTCAGTATATGAAAGATTACGATGGACATTTAAATTGTATGATCTTAATGGTGATGGTTGTATTAGTAGAGGTGAATTAGGTGAAGTTGTATTGGCAATACATGAATTAATGGGTCGAAGAGCACATCAACCAGAAGATGATAGGAAAGCCAGAGATCAGGTATGCATACATAATTATATTTTCATATAGATTCTTATAAAAAACTTATCATTAATTGTTTATTTTCTAATTAAAAATTTTATAAAACTATATTTTATAAATAGCTATTCTAATACCGAAAGAATATTTATGCGTTTAAATAGAATTTATAATACAAGTAGAGGACAAAGGGGCTCTTGAGATATGTTAGGGCTGAATTCAGCATATACTAATTGAAATGCTGACGTTTGAGGGAAAATAGTCAAAAGACTAGGAGTCACAGCAACGGATATCTGTTGGAGACGTCTAGATACTGTCGGGGCATTCTTATACAATGGCCGGCGGGATCTGTTGGGAAAGTTTGGCGCGACTCTTGTGAATAATTCACTCCGGTTTGATTGTTTTTATATTTTGCATTACATATAAGAGTGGGTTGTCGAGCGCTAATTTGAGAATTATCAATGAACCTTCTTGTCCGGGCGATGTTCCCTTACATAATATTCATTATTCATCATCAATAACGAAATGCAATTCATCAATAACGAAATTAAAAGTAAATTTTCTATTTAAAAATCAATTAAAATTATTAACAATGAATTGCAAATAGTTATTGCTTAATATATAAATAAATTTCCAAAATTTATTAAAAAAAAATTATTGAAAATTACACAACATAAATCATAGATTTTTAATATCATCAACCACCATATTGTATAAAAAGTATATAAATTTTATTCATGCTCATTAATAAATTAAACAACAGTTCCATACCACATACTGGCATAAATGCAAATAATTTTCTAAATGTATGAGTTTAATAATGTATAATGCTTGTGCAATTTATGCCAGTTAATAGTCAAAATATCATAAAGTTTATTACTCGTATCATATATATATCTATATATAGTAGTCACATACTTCAATTTAACTTCTTTAACTTCCTATTATATATACACATTCACATATAATTATACTTATAATATCTAAAACATTGAAGACATTTATATTTATTAAAACTGTTTATTAACAATAAGAAATATAGTAAATTAAAATATAATTTATATCATTTTATATATATATAGCGCAAAAAAAATATCATAGCTCTTTTATTTTTATATCCTTTTATTTCATCGTAAATCTGACACCATAAGGCGGCATATATAGCAATCAATTATTATCATAACCATTATCATAACAATATCATAATATTATACATATACATATACATATAATAACCATATTGTGTTAATAAAAATGCTTAAATATTTTACCATATCATACATAAATGTATATATAAATGTAGCTGACAATAAGATTCATATGTTACAAAAATAAGTGTGCTCTATATATACATATATGTATGTACAAACCATATCAATGCAACTATAAATTATAAAATCCTTTTTAACATAGCACAATATCATAATAATTATACAATAGTTACATGAGCTGTAATAATAAATTCCTAATATACATATATAATAAGTAACATATATATCAAAAACTGAATAGAAAACAAGTGAAAAGGAAAAAAAATATTATTGATATATGTATACAAGCTTTTGATTTTTTTTATAATCGGATATTATATTATGTAGATTCAATATTATGCTATTACAATGGTAAATATAAATTATTAGAATAAATTATTGAGTTATAAAAAGAAAATCACTTTATAATATCAACAGTTTTATTAATAATATATCACCTTTTAACAGGTAAATTTACACATTCAATAAAAAATGTTCTAATATTTAAATAACAGTAAAATATGAATATGTATTTATAATTATTTTCATAGTGTATTGTATACAGTAACTCCTAAAGAAATTCCAGCAGAAATTTCTGCTTTATACAAGTTTAATCGTAAAATTAAGAAAACTATTGAAAGGGCGCCACTGTGTTAAAAATAACAATTAAAATTTATTTTAAAAATAAATTTTTTACATAAAAATTCATTATTTGACTTACAGAAAGCTCCAACGTCAAATTTTTGAGTCAATAACAAGCAAGAATGTGATTTTTCATTAAAATTTTTGGTGATTAATATACGCAATTTTTTAGACTAGAACTATATTAGAACATGATCAGATATTAGACTGTTATTCTTAAAATTTTATGAAAAAAACTAATTCGGTTGGAGTTAACATCTGCTATGTCTCTTGCCTTCAGAATTTCTGAAAATCAAAAATGCATGCTTCAAAAAAAAAAATAACTTATTTCCTATACTACTTCAACCCCGCAACGCAAGATACGCTTCAAATTATTTAAGACGAAAAACTGCTTGGTTAAAAATTTAACAGAGCCCTTACTGTAAATTCATTCATTTGAATTTACATGTTTATTTATATATATAATTCACATTAAATTATCTATATTATAATAGAAAAATTGTTGATATTATCATTTCCGATAATTGATGTTTCATTATAAAGAGGTACAATAAAATGAATAGGTAGGGTATAGGTATAAATATAACTACCTAATATTAAAAACGATATATTGAATTATTTCATCGATTACAGAAATGATAATCAGAAATTTATTATACCATCGTTATATTATTTGGCATACCTATTGAAAAAAAAATATTAGAGTATAACAGTATGCTTTATTTGAAGTGTTGTTTTTTATATCATTGTATGCATATTTGATGTATAATAAATCAAATCTTTTTATTCCCGTAATTACATTACTGGTATATTACACGAAATAATTTATTATCAATTCTATGCTTGTTGTTTACTTTCATATTATTTTCTTTTATATTACATTGAAATTTACGTATATCATATACATTATGTAATTATATTTTCTTTTTCTTTTTTATATTAAACAGATTTTTTCTTTTATGTACCTATCTATAACTAACACTTGAAATATTTTCTTCATCCCACACTGATTTGTATTTTTATCACAATTATATCACATTGCCATTTCCTCAGGATTTTTAGTTCCTTTATTTTTATGAAATAAAATTTTATCTACTGTAACATAATTCGAAATTTTTAATGATAATTAATTTCTTTTTTAAATACTAAATAATTTATGTATATAGCTACATAAATGTAGATCCATATAATGTGTTATATATATTATGAATGTGTTTATGTATAAAAAATATAGAGTTATAGTGTACTAAAAATAAATTTAATGGACATTAATTTGTAACCCATTGCGCGAAAATAAATCGAACTATCGCTTTAAAAAATTACGGAATTTTAAAAACAAAAATATTTTTGTAACGATGACGGAAAAAAAGATGTTGTCTACTGCATATTTCTTAATTAAATCTTATTATGTCAGGAATAATATTCAAATTTCTAGATGGTTTTTATAAAGTTCTTTATTACTACCATCCTTTATTTACCACACAATTTTCTATATTTTTCGATAATTTATTGTCAAAATTTTACAAAACGCATCTAGAATTCTTTGAATTAGTTTTAGAAGGGACTTGCTTTTCTCTGTGCTTCGAAAACTGAAAGTGCAAATATTGCAAATTTTTTTAAGATACGGATCGTGATGTATCATCATAGCTTATGGGCTTTTTACAATATTGCCAAACTAACATTATAAACTCTTCAAACTTCTTGTTTGAACAATCACTTAATTTCTTCAAGCACTGTGTTTTCAATTTCATATTTACAGATAAAATAGAAAATATTTTGATAAAATAGAAAATATTTTGATATATTCTATTATATAACTTTTATATAACAGCACACAAATTTATAACAGCTGTTAAAATCATAAAATATTTTGTTTAAAATAAATTCTTTTATAAAAATCTTCGAGCTATAAAATATTTTCTAAAACCTCATCCAAAAATAAATTTTGAAATATTCGTACTTCAAAATTTAACAACAAAATTTTCTCTTTTATTAAAAAAATTTTAACTCATCTATAATGTTTTCGTAAATATTTTGAGAAAATAATTATGTAAGAGTAATGAAAAAAGTTGAAAAGTTAACATAAATTGTCATTCTTGTGGTTCCTGTTCCATCGATTTTACTCTCTGTCAGTTGTTGAATATAAGCTTAATATGGAAATACAAACATAGTTATTGTTGTCAAATAATTCAAACCTTATATAAGCATACATTCTTTCAAAAAAGTAATGTAGCTCTTTTAGACTAGGCCATTGCAAGTTTAATGTTATACGTATGTGTGTAATAATATTTAGAAACTCTTTAAAAAAAAAAATTTATAAATATCCTGAGAGAATTTTATTGTATATCGTTAATATTAATAAAAATCTATATTTTTACACATGAATATAATAAATCTAGAATAATATAAATAGCGGTATATTAGGGTTACCGAAGCTTGAGAAAAATTTTTTTTTAACAAAGTTTATGACATTTTTATTTAAAATGTGTATGTAAATGTACAAGTAATATATAGTTTATGAATATTTTTGAAAAGTTATCTAAATGAAATAACAAAATCAAAAAATCGCATCATATAATGTATGCTCTCCGACAGCAGGGCCGCGTTATTGTCCCTCCAACCGACTCAAATCACACCTAACTTGGTTTGGGGCTGTGTGCTCTAGTAGTACTAGTGGAGCCAGCATCAGCAAACAGAGTAAAGCTCCCGGCGCCACAGTCGACATAGAGGCTACGAGATTAACTACTAAACTGGTGCAGAGGGGAACTGAAATCTCTTCCGTTTAGTCCGTCACCTTCTGTGGACCGTGAATATCTGCCATTAAGAGCAGACTTTGCGTTTTGCTTAATCGAATCGAATCTTCGCTGGGATGCTATTGAGGGATGTCATCACGCGAAGTTGTTCCTTCCAAATTGCTCAAGAAAGTTATTTTCAGAGCTACTGGGGATGAATCGAAATCAGGTTCGTTTCTATAACAGGCTTCTTCAATTTGCATTGTTCGGTAAAATATCACCTGCACAAACTGGGAAAATCAGACTCCCTTTTGTGTAGATTCTGCAATCAACAATCTAAAAGCACATTAAATACACATAGACTTTTAAAACGGCAATATTCTTCGCAGTCCTTGCGAAACCAAGCTCGAGAAATTTTGATTTACACGTTATTATATATCATTCAGATATATAATGTATTGCAACCTTTTATTAGATTTTTTAGTTAGTATTAATAGATATAAGGTTTGTTAATAGCTTTATGCCCATTTTTAGTTACGACATCAATATTGACTTAATCTTAACATTTGTAATACTTATTTTGTATATCGATAGTAAAAAATTAAGAAAATTGTTAAAAAAAAAATAATAGATTTCATTTGGCATCTCCATCTAAATATATTAAATATTTATCTAATGTATGTGAATATTGTAAGTATACAAAAATATTATAGATATAAGTGTGCATGTAGATATAGGTACCTATTTATATGAAGAAGAAAATTACATTTAATAGATTACAACATAATTCCTCCAGGTGGTGTACGATGATGTATTATTATTTTATTTTGTATGACCTTGTTCTGCACAAAAAGTGTATATTTATAGAACCAGAGGATAGAAAATTTATAATATAAAATTCAAACTATAGAAATTTAGGTTGCAGATTAATATAAAAAAAAATCTTAATATGATAAACGTTCCTATATGCTATACATGAGTATAAGTGAGCTGCTATGTGGGTAGGAAATAACCGTGTAAACTTATTATATATGCATACATGCGTGTTTATCTGTTTGTATATTATAAAATTGTGTATTTGAGCATACCTTTATTTCATCTTATATAGAAAAAATATCATAAAAAATATTTTGAAATTATAGGAAATGCCATCTGTTTTTACATAAATTTTATATTAAAATCAAATGATTACTTATAAAGACAAACAATGTGAAAAAATTAATTATAATTTCAAGCAAATAATGTGTTCAAATTTCTTGCCTACATAGCTGTAATAACGTTATTAATATTTTAATTTAATATTTTACATTTTACCATTCTGGTTTTGATTAATAAACTTTTTTCTCTGAACAAAAAAAAAATAAAATTTTTCTGCAAAAATACTAATTTTTTCGCTAACGTTAAATGAATGTATTCTGAAACTAATTTTTAGTTCTAATAGCAATTTAAAAATATTAATTACTTACCATCGCTTACCGTTATGCATGCGTCCAGGTCTTCTTCTTGAACTTTGTGGGCTTTTCTTAAAACTCAATCTAGCGACATTATTATCACGCGAAATTTCTTAGAGTGTGTCCAATCCATTTCCACTTCCTTTTTTTTTATTTGTTTATCGATAGTTTCCTCGCCTGTTGTTATTCATAGGTCTTCGTTTCTTATATTTGTTGACCGCAATATTTAGTATGTTATCCATCTCTTTATAAATACTTGCAATTTCTGACTGACGGATTTCGATGGTAGCCAAGTTTTTCTGCCCTACAACAGAATCGATTTTACCCAATACCGGAATATTCCAAGCTCAGTCGCTCCGGATATCTGCCAAACACTGGTTTTTCTCCAATCTGTTGTCTACATCTACTTGCTCTTTCTTTAGTCTTGTGTCTAACGAAGTAGCAGAAGGTGCTGACGAACTCTATTTGTTGGCTATTGAGTTCCAGATTGACTGTGCAGGTGGAATTTATTTTCATCGAATTAGTTTTGTTATCAAGGTATTTTAATTTGTTCTGCATATCGTTGGTCTTGTGGGAGAGAAGGTTGTTTTATTTAATTGATGCTTGGGGGATATTCAGAAATTCTTAAGGTTGCTTGTTCTGCTTGAAGTGTTGTTCGGTCTGGCCGCTATCTGTTTAAGATATCCCCGTTTGCCTTTTTTAGAGGCCTGCTTAACTGTTGTGTTTGGGTCTGGTATTGTGGAGATCTAAAATTGTTTTCATCGCTAATTAAGCTTAGCATTTCTTCTTCTATTGATAAGGTCCCAAGTCTCTTCAGATGTGTTCCTGATGGGAACGCAGTTTTTCTCGCATATCTGATTGCAGTTTATGGGTTCCACACTTTCTGCAACTTGTAGCGTTTGTTTCTGTCGTTATACTGCCTCTTTCTTATTTCAGATTTGATATCACCTGTCAGAAACCCGTGATCGCTCTCTATGTCTGTTCCTCTTGTATTTTACACATCGAATATGTATTTTTTTTCTGTTAATACATATGTTTGGCGAACATATTTTCCATCTTATACCGTTTGGTGAACACATCGTATATTTATGTTTTAGTGAGAGAAGATAGCACCGCAGTTCGAAGTCTTACAAAGCTCTATCAGTCTTTCTTCAATGTTGTTTCTACTCTAATGCCGAATATTTACATAATTTTGTGTAGCCCACTAATATGGTTAGATCACTCATTAGTATGACTATATCGCTCTTGTGAATTTTTCTTGTAAAGAATCAGTGAACACAAATATGTAACTTCAAATCCGTGAGTCAAAAATCAGCAAATTTATATTGCGTTATACAAAATTAAGCTGCTACACTGTGTTATACTGAAATTTGGAAATCAGAGCATATTATTATTATTTCTATAAATATCTACATAAATGTACTTATTCTAACCATTAAAAACTTATTCTTTTTCTTGTTTTATCTTTTCCCATTTATTTCCAGGTTGATCGAGTTTTTCGAAAATTAGATTTAAATCAAGATGGTGTTATAACAATTGAAGAATTTTTGGAAGCATGCCTGAAAGATGACTTAGTTACAAGATCCTTACAAATGTTTGATCTTTGATGACCCCCTGAGGAAAAACAAATTAGTAATAAAAATAAACACGCAATTTCATTAATTGATCTCTAAAAAAAAAAAAACAAAAAAACAAAAAAAAAAACAAAATGCATCTTAATAATAGTAAAAAAAAAATTCAACAAAAAATTAAAAAAAAAAACGAATAAAATAAAGTAAAAAAAAAACGATAAAAAAAAATAAAAAAAATGAAACAGGATATTATGTAAAATTTGTCTATTCTATCTACATACTTACATATAAACATACCATACATTACTAAATAAACACAAGAAATTTGAAGTTTTCCTAAACTATGTAACAAAACAAAAAACCAAACAAAAAAATTGAAAAAAAAAAATTAAGAAAATTTAACCTTTATAAACAATCTTAAGACACATCCTCCTACATGGAAGGACATTTTTAAATTTAACACACAAATTAATACTTAGGGGTAAACCTAAATGGGCGCGTAGTGCTTGTGTCAAAATGTTGGCATTCCCGTACATATTAAATCAAGCGACGTAAATGAGCTACGCGGTTATCCAACGTATTAGAGTTTTTGATTTTCACAACATGAAGGTACATTTTTTTTCTGTTTTTTTTTAATGTTTTCGTTTTTAATATAAAATTAAACAGTTTATTGTCAATTCACACATGTAAAACTCAATCTTAAAATTTAACAATATAAACTTATTTTGGAAAATAGTTTTGAATTTTTGACAATAAATGTCAGATTACGCTGTGTGCTCCATTCGATAACCGCATTGAATTATGCTGCCTACTACGCACCCATTGATGGTGAAGACCCCTTAATCAATTAAAATTGCAGTCGAGATATTTTTTTAACAAAAGGAAAAACATCCTACGAAAATAATTTCTCATCGAAAGCAATCGGAAAAAGAATTTATTAAATTGACGCACAAAAATTAATTTTTTAAGCTTTGAATTTATATAAAAATGAAATGAATTAGGAAATTTAATTAAAGAACAAATTAAATATTTTCAAAATTGTAATCAAAACAAAAAATTTTCCATTTATAAATTTATAATAAACAAATTAATTCCACAATTTAAAATTTAAAAAATATTTCAAATGTATAAGTTCTAGTAAATGTGTAAATTATTGTATATGCTAATAACCACAAAATCTTGCTGAGATAAAATTAAAAATCAAATCTGCTGAACATCTTTATCATCCCTGGTGAAAAACACAATAACAAAGAAACCAAAAAAAAATTTATCTGCCATGACATAAAACAAAAGTAAATGCAGAATCGATACAGCTGTCAGTCCCTTTTTTTTTGAATGATGAAGTTTTTGCTATTTATAAAAACTTAATACACACTTGCAATTATTTCCACTTTTTATTGTTACATCCGAAAATTATATAGGAAAGAAGTCATTATTTATATTATTTTTTAAAAATTTATCTCCCTAAATAGTACTCGTAAATCTACTCAAAAGTACTTTATCAAATAAAGAAAAATTTTATTAAATTTTCTAACCCAGAATAGTATAAATTTAGATCTTTCTTTCACACTTTGATTAATTAACAAGGTGAACAATTAAATGATTGTATTACTATTAAAAATAATTGCTTATAAATTACATAATTGCAAAATAAATCCCAATCAAGGATTAAAGAAACAAAAACTTCATAGCAAAGAGAAAGATTTTTGTACATTTTTTTTTTTTTTTTCAAAAATTTAATCATTGTTGTTAATTGCGGGAATATGTGGAAACACCTTAATATATAGTGGCAGATAAGCTAAATTCTAATTAATTTTTAATAATTTTTAGGAGTAGTTAAACTTTAAAGGAAATGTAGATTTAATATTAGAGAATTAATAATATACAATGTATAGGAGAGCAAATCTCATCTATATTTTAATTATATATGTATAAATTTTAACGCTTGCATTTTTATATTTAAAAATATTTTGTATCTTTCATTTCGTTTTTCAAAAATTGATCTAAAGTCATGATGATCTAGCAATAATTATATATGTATATGTATACTTACTTTAAAATATTTAAAATATATTTTGTAAAAATGAAATTTTATTACAAAATATTTATATATAAAAACAAGAAACTATTAAAGTTTACAGGAAGTTATGTAACATAATGTAACAAATAGAATTTCAAATATTACCGTCCAAATATCATGTAATTAATTTTTTTATTCCAATCGCGTCCTACAAATCCTGACATTTTGAAAGAAAATCATTCATTAATAATTAAACACAATAAATATTTAATGAACAATTATTTAATTAATTTCCAGTTCTATTTTTAATTATAAAATAAAATCTTATAAGGCCAATGACAATCTCCTCTGTATACTTTAATTTTTAATTTTACTTTGAAAAACCATTCATTTTGCGAATTCAAATTAAATTTAATTCTATTAATACCAATTTTTAAATTTTTATCATGTAATTAATTTTTTTATTCCAATCGCGTCCTACAAATCCTGACATTTTAAAAGAAAATCATTCATTAATAATTAAACACAATAAATATTTAATGAACAATTATTTAATTAATTTCCAGTTCTATTTTTAATTATAAAATAAAATCTTATAAGGCCAATGACAATCTCCTCTGTATACTTTAATTTTTAATTTTACTTTGAAAAACCATTCATTTTGCGAATTCAAATTAAATTTAATTCTATTAATACCAATTTTTAAATTTCTTTGATTCCCACGTTACATAAATGCAAGCAATATTTAAATAAATTTATTATTATTTATAAAATCCTTTATGACATTAATAATTTTAATTTTATACTATCAATCATTCATATACTTTAATTTCTTTATTTAAATCTCGACTGCATAAATAATACAAGTATATAGAAATTTAATCCTTTTTTCATTTCTATATACCAATATCTTCTTTATTTTATTTTCTATAATTTTTTTTAATAATTTTTTCAAATATAATAATTAAATATACATGTATGTATGTAAAATGAAATTATTTAGTTATAAATTAAGATATAGAGATCTTTCAATTACGCTTATAAGAATAGTGTATTTTTGGTATATGAATTATATATTAATAATATTATAATTAATTTAGATGACGTTCCAAAGCGAAATAATTTAAACTATGTATTCAATAAAAAAAAAAATTGGAAAAAAGCAAAAAAAATAAATATCATCATAAGATTTACATAAAATTATTAAAACATAAAAAATCACAATAAAAAAATGAAAATCATAATAATTAATTAAAAAAAAAGTAACTATTCTTATGAGATGTTCAACAAGATTTTTAATGTGTTTTAATGTGTTAATTTATACAAGAGAACAAAAGAAAAATTCCATTAATTTTAATTCCATATACACAAACAAAATAACATCAAAAATTTTTACAAGATTCTATTTACATAATTTTGACACTGAAGCTTTTTTTCTAAAAAACGTTCATTGCTACATTACTTCGGCAAGTAAAATGACATTTGTGAATTAATGCTTACTTGATTAACTTCAGTACCTTAACATAAAACACAAAATACATCTTATATAGATATGTATTTGAAATATTTGAATTCAATATGTGAATACTCAATCCATTCAAATCTATAACTTAGCAATGTTCGGTTAGATCCGCACCATTCTAAAATAATAAAATTAATATTAGAAAATTCTTCTATAAAAAATTTATATAAAATATGTATCTATGGAAAGTACTTACATATGATTAAAGAAAAAACCAGCCTAAACTCTTCAAACTCAGTTTTTCAATTTGATTTTTCCGAAAGCATTAAACATTTCGATTTCTACAATTTAGAATCATTGCCACATATGTCACACCAACCTTTTTCATACATTGTGTCACTTAGGCATGCTGTATTTGTATGACACGAAACATTAGTGGTAGTTTTTTGCGTTTTCCAAAATATTATTGTATTACTTCATTTAATTGTGCTGTAATTTTGTGAAAAAGAATATACAATATTTAAATATAATTTGTAATTTAGATTTTTATGTGCTTTTATTTTGTCATAAATTCCTGTACAATACGATTTCTTAAGAAGTCATTACAATAAACCAGTAACCAAGTACCAAGTCACTTTAGTTTGCAACCAAGTCGTTGGTTCAACCGAGTCATTGGTAATAAAATATTAAAAGCGTCAGTTGTAATCATATGCGATAAAAACTTTTGTAAACAAATAACAAATTTCATCTATCACCTGTTTACGTACATACGTATATTCATTCTTACATTACGTAACGTATATAAGTACGTTAACATACGTATATATTCAAATTTACATTATACAAAGTTTTTATATTAATTTTATTTTGCCATTAATGAAATTGAAATATTAAAAAAATACATTATAATTCGAGTTGAATAGAAAAAATAATTTGAAACAATTAAAAATAATTAAAGAAAAAAAAATTCTCAATTAAATAATTAGAAACGGAAAATCTATAAAAGAATTTATTGAATAATTAAAAACGAAAAATTTTAATTATAAAAAAAGAAAATCAATATTTGGAATTGAAGAATCGATATATACTGAATTGGCCTAAAAAAATAAAATGTAAATTTAAAAAGCAAAAAAAAAAATTTTGAAAACGATTTATTTTTCTTAATTAAAAAATATTTGTCATTTTTATCGTCTCTAAAAATTAATAAAACACAAAAATGTTTTCAATTGGACATAATTTGTAATCAGAAATAAAATATGGCATAGTATAATAATTAAAATAATTTTAAAATTCAAAGCAAATTTTCTTAAAATTAACACATAAAACTTGAATAAAATAATTTTTGTAGAATAGGTATACATATGATATGTATATGAATGTGTAGATGAGCATTAGTAAAAATTACAAAAAAAAAAAATTGAAAGAATAAAAATTATAAATAATTTTAATTTGTTTTTAATATACTCATATTATTGTTTGCAATTATTTTCATTGTAATTTATTAAATATGAAAAAAAAATTCATAGAACATCAAACTGTTTGCGACCATTAAAATTGACGTATAACAAGTACAAGAAAATGAAACTCAATTTAATAAGAAAGTTAACATAAAAAACAAAAATATTAACAAAAGCTCTACATAGAAATTATACTCTACACCTGCAAATACCTCTGAACGAGCAAGCGAATACAATATTTTAAAAACACTTTTAAATTTTAATATTAAAATACTTTGTGAATGAAAAAGTAATTTACTGTCACCTAAATAAGCGAATCATATTTTATTTGAATATGCTTGTAGACATCGCTGGCTTTCATACTTAACTGAAATTCTAATATCGATCCAAATTATACTTCAACCGAATTTTTAATTCCTTAATACAACAAATTGACGTTATATCGATGCGCTTCAGCTATGCTCAAAGCAAGTTTTTATATAATATAGCAAAAAAGAGGTTTCTAAAATTAACGATGTAAAAAAAAACAACTCATTTATTATACATATTATTAAAAAACTTGAAAAATTTGTAACTGCATATAGTCTCTTCATAAAAATGAATGAAATTAAATTTCATTTAAAAATTTTATAGATAGTTTGGTTTAATTTATAAATAAATGCAATATTATATACTTAGAAATCAACTTTTTTAATTTAACAACGAAATTTAATGACATAAATTATTCAAAAATATCGTGTGGTATAAAAATTTTATGAAATAAAATTAAAACATATCTTGTACCAATAAATCCTGCCAAAAAAAAATAAACATTCCTGCATATATGAGTATATTAAAATTTATTATTTTATATAATATTATTTAAAATTTTCAATTTTTATATTTTTTGCCCTAATGTACTATATGTATTTACAAAATGGATTAAAAGTTTAATGCATAGTGAATTAAAAATTAATTTTGAATTTATTTATTAACATAGAAATACCCATTACGTATTATTATGGGCCTGGCCAGAATATGTTTAAATATAAAGTTTTCCGTGAAAAATTGACATTTTAACAAGCATGATTTTAGATATAATTATTTATTATTATCTACAAATATTGGAACATTCATTTTTAGCATAATTATTATTTATCACTTTCTTACCGAATGCAGACATACTTATAGTGCTAGTCCCAAAAACAAAATTTTGTTAGTGGACTTTTTCTTTACGGATACATAATGTGCTCTCAAAAATTATTACGAAATAACAGTTATAAATATTTTAAAATTTATTTAATTTGTTGGTTAGAATGATTTTTACTTTTTATATCCAAAAAGAAGTTTTTAGTTTAAAACTCGCATAATTAAATGTTTATTTCTCGATCATATAAACTTAAAAATGGTAATAAGTGATCTTCTCGAAAACTTCAAAATGTTACTTAATGAGTCTTAAATAGTGAGTTCAACATCGAATAATTACAATTTATTTATATTAAAACATTTTACTTAATTAATAAAACAAATTGGTGATATAAAATTTATTCAATAAATTGTTTAATAACAAAAATAATTTTCTTGTTTAATTTTCTTAAATTTTATTATAAAATATAATTTTATTATATTAGGAAAGTAGTTCACTATGCATATTCTTTTAGTAGAAAACTAATCAAAACTATTAAACCAATTATACATCAAATTAAAAAAAAATATAATTTTAGGCTATTCATATAGATGTCCGGAAAGGAATTATATTATTATTGAAAAATTAATTTATTCATAACATTGAAATTAAATTAAAATTAAAACATACAAAAAATAAAAAAAAAGGAAATTTAATAAAAGCATTCAAACAAATAAAAATAAAATGAACATTCAAGAAACTCTTCATGACACCAATAACTCTTAGATAGAAAAACAAATAAAAGATGAAAAAAAAAAATAAAAATAAATAAAATAGTAAATACTAAATTAAATCAATCGAAAAAGCATTAATTATATAAATGTACATTTTAATTATAAATTCTAAGTTAATTCTATTTTTAAAAAGAAAACAATAACATAGAACAAAAATTATCAAAAAAGAAAAAACAAAAAATTATATAATATGTACATGTTACATTTAAAACTAAAAATAAAAACAAAATTTATGTTACATTAAATAAAGTTTTCGAACATAAGAATTTAAAAAAAGAAATAATTATGGAAAAAAAAATCAAAAGTTAAAAAAAAAAATTAAAAAAAAAATACATTTTAACAAAAAATTTAAAAATGTTAAGGAAATGGTATCATTAAAAATAGAATTAATCATGTATTTTTAATTCTTAAAAATTATAATTTTAAAAATAAAAGTTGAATTTGAGGTGAAAATTATTTTATTGTCTTTATCTATATAAAAAATATATTTACTAAGTGCATAACATTTCATACTTGTTCCATCCCTTGTTCGATATGCGTCTTTCTAAAATTTTAATTGAAAACAAAAGAAAAGCGATTTGCCGCGACGAAATGTCAAAATTCATATAGAATACACATGATGAAGTGCGACTGGTAAGAATGAAGCGAAATTACCACCGCGATTTTAACCGACGGTATTTTTTCAGAAATCATCTGTTTTCATGTGTCTGTATGCAAAATACTGAGTAATTATGATTTTTGAGTTTCGCCTTTCCGCTGTTGCTTTTGGTTAAAAACAGAAATCGTCTGACGTTGCTGTTTGACCGCTGGAAATTTTCTAATTATTCTATTAATGTTTCTAATAAAGAATAATGTTTTACATAAATATTTTGTCTTTTAATATTACCGTATCTAAAGATGCATTTAAATATTCGACATTTGAAAATTTTTCCACTACTTGATGTTAAAAAATTCGAATACGGTATCGCACTTTCGAGATTCTACATTTGAAGTAAAAAATGGCAATTTTGTGCAAAGGTACAAAAGGTTTTATTTTGTACCAAAAGACGTTTGTCAATTTTTGGTGTCAATATTCAAGTGGTATAAGTCAATTTTTTTTATATATATATTCAGATATTTACGGATTTGCGGTTAAAAGTTTTGGATATAATAACATAATTTGTTTATTTTATGTCTAAATAGAGCTGAGGAAAAGGTGTCTATCAAAATTATTATTAACTTAGCCTTTTTGAAAGCTCATACATATATGTACATGTATTTACATACATCCATATACGATATATGCTGAATTTCTTATTATCCTCTTTTCAAACTAAATTTTTCTTCCATTGATCAAAAATATCTTAATATTCTAAACGTGTTTTATAAGTTTTATTTCTCATGAATACTTTTAAGACGTGTTCATAAAAGATACAACTAATAAATACATTCTTATTTTTAGTTTTGGCAATAACAACAGAGCCGAAATAAGCATTCCAAATACCGAATTTCCAAATACAAAAATTACGAAGATTTTGTGAAAATGCAAATTACGTATATACATACGTACATCCATTATAAATTATGAATGTAAATTGTTTTATTCGTCTGTTACATTTTATTGCGTAAAACTATGCCACAAAAAGTGTCAGCATTGGAACAATTGACAAAAAAATTGTGTCATTTTTTTTTAATATTCTTATTATTATCTTAATACTTAACTCACAAATTTGCTTAAAGGGAAACTTATCATCCTGTCAAAATACAACATCTTCAGTCAGCTGACGACCGAAATATTATTTTTCTTTTGCAAACGTAGTTTGTTTTGCTTGAAAATTGGATTTGATTTCTAGATCCAAAAATCAAAATAGAACTGTGATGTCTTTAGTCAATAATTCCAGTAGCATTAGTGATTATATAAAAATTATTCTAGAAAAATATGTACAAAATCAAAATGACATCAGTTTATCAGAATATTATGAAAAGCTGATCAAAGTAATATTTGATACTTGTTTTCAATGCTTTTCAAAAAAACACTTATTGAAATCAATAGAAAATTCCTCTCCACAACATTTTGAAATTGCTAAGTCTTCTGAAATTTCTTCAAATTTAGACGATATTTGGATTTTTGGGTATGGTTCCTTAATATGGAAGGTAACTATGTACTTTAAATTAGTTTCAACTAATTTCATTTCTTTTAAATTTTTTGCGTAACTTTGGTTTTAATATACTGTAGGTAGATTTCCCATTTGAAATTTGTCACCGAGGTTATATATGCAATTACGAAAGACGTTTTTATCAAAATAGCTTAGATCACAGAGGCACTCCGGAACAACCCGGTCGAGTTGTAACATGTATCCCATCAGTAAGAGAGGCTAGGGTTTATGGTATGGCGTACAAAATTCCATCCAACTTAAAAGATGAAGTGCTAAGTCATTTAGATTATAGAGAGAAAAATGGATATGAACGATGCTCTATAAACTTTTTTCATTATCCTGATGAAAATCAACCAAATTTTAAAGTTATAATGTATATTGCTACCGCAGATAATGAATCTTATGCTGGACATATTTCGGATATTAAAAACATAGCGGAGCAAATTTATTGGGCTTGGGGACCTTCAGGTAGTAATAGAGAATATGTATATAATTTATCAGCAGCTATGAAAATGTTGTTTCCCGACGTTATCGATGCACATTTATTTGAATTAGAAAATGAATTGAGACAAAAAGAAACATTAGATGAAGAAATTTCAAACCAAATTGAATCTCATCTAAAAGTGGAATTGCCTAAATTGTTCGAAAACAATATCACTTGCAACAATTTATCACGGGACATTGATAATTTATTACGAAAATTAAAAAGAAACCACTATCAACCGTAATTTTATTTTTATTATAATAGTAATGAAATTTTCCTTCTTTCCATTTGGCCTTACAAATTTGAATAACTAAGTTTTATCTCCAATGACGTACCAAGTATAAATGATTCCAGTACAAAAAACTTCTTAAGCTTTAAACGCCTTTTAAAAGAACTTGCACACTACAAAACAAAATGAAACATTAACTAAGTTATGCAATAGAATTAGAATTTTTAATTTAAAAATAAACATAATAAAGCAATAAATTTTAAATATTAAAACTTAAATGTTAAAATTTGTCAATGAAAGCAAAATATCGAAAGTTAGTATTAAAAACTCTTAGTTTTTATATAATTTAGTTATTTTTATGCTAAGCTTTAAAAGCCTGTACCCCTATATCAACTTTCAACTGAATCAGAGCCCTATGCTCTTCAAAAATTTCTTGTGCTAACATTTGTTTTTTTTGCTCTAATAAATTATTTTCTTTTATATATCTTTCAATAACCCTTTCATAATCCCCATCTTCATTCCAATAAGTATTTCTAGAAGTTTGCAGTTGATTTTGCTCTACATTGGAAAGTAATTTTTTCAATTTTAATAATTCTGCTCTTTCCGAATTAATTCTACTTTGCAATTGCGACTTCCATTGCAATAACTCCTGGTTTTCTAGTTGTAGTTTCAGTAAAGCAGCATAACTTGGATGAGATTCTGGAACCATTAGTAAACCTGATTCATGCACATATAATTTATCAGGATTATTGGGATCATCTAATAAATCACCAACACTTTCAATTATTTGTTGCTCAGGAATTACTTCTGGAATGTCTTGAGGAGATAACTTTGTTTCCCCTTCTATATTAAAACTTTTGAGAGAATAATCATCTTCCGACCATGTAGTTGTTGGTCCAGTAGTAATTGGAGTTTCTGTTGTATTATTTCCAGCTGCCGAATTACCACTTTCTAAGGTATCTTGCCTTTTTTCAAATGATCTTAATTTTCTTTTAAGTTGGGTTATTATACGTTGTACCTCCCATAACTGTTCTTCGCGTTTTTTAGAAAAAAAACCAGCATTCATTTCCGAATGAATTTGTGTTAATAAGCTCTCTTGTTTCTTTAATTCGATTTGTATTTGATGTGGATCTTCCGGTAGTTTTGGACTTGTAGATGTTATTGGTGGAACATATCTAAAAATGTAATTAAATTAATAAGATAATAAAATTTCAAGCATACATAATATTATGTATGTACTTTGTAAAGATTTTCGCTATCTTTGCTATTTTCAACATAGTTACTCTTTAAATATTTTCGTATAAAACGTTTACAATCAAATATTAAGCACCCCACAAAAATATTTATAAAATATTTCCGTATAATTTTACAAAAAAAAATTTTCAAGAAAATGTTATTAAGCTTAATTCGTGATCTAGCTTTTAATTTTACAAAAAGTATAAGAAAAGCGCAATCTAAAAAACCTAATTTGCACAAAAGTCTCAACATTATGTACATATTTACTTTGTGTATTTAATTTTATGACATTTTATTTCAAAATGTTTGTTTGAGAAAAGTCGAGATAAAAATTAAATAAAGTTTTAAATTTTTATCACATTTAGTGTTCACTTTGATTTAGTCAAATTTTTTCCGTCTTTGATAAGTAATGGTTCATATTTTAAAGTAGTTTATTGAAAACTTTGTTAAAGCATGTAAATTAGAAATACTTACTTAACTAATTTAACATCTGGAAAAAGATTAGGGCAATGACACAAAAGTGTAACTAGTAACCTGTGCGACATTTGTAATGGTGGACTGAGTAACATTGCCAAGCTTTGGGCGTTTAATTTATTATATTTTTCATTTTGAATAACTGAATCAAAATGTAATAATATCCAAGAAAGTAAAGTTTTATTACAACTTGGTAATTGATCCAGCAAGTGCTTAAGCTCTGCTTCGGTTTGAGTAACCTCATTGTGAGAGGCTGCTTCTTCAAATCTTGTTATTAAATCTGTTGTTAAAATCGGCTCAGGTAATTCTCTGTAAATATGTAGTATAGTTAATTAAATTAATTTAAAAAAACATAAAAAGCTAATTACCTTAAAAATAGTTTTAGCAAACCACAAGCAATGGATACCTCGAATTCCTCTGTGCTTTGGGTTTCCCTGTTATTATATAATCTTTTAAATGATTGTAAACGACTTTTCATGGGTTCTACTTTATAAATTTGATCATTTTGTAAGCCGTTTTCCTGTAAGAAATCTATGCAATCTCTAACCACTAATGGTAAATCTATTCCATCATGACAGTGGCTACGCTCAGTAGCTAAAGACACGGAAACGCCAAAAACAGGCTGCACATCACCTAGTTCAAGTACTTCTTCACAAATACTTGCTTGTTTTGATTTTTTATCCTTTTTATCCTTGTCTTTGTCCTTAGTTTTGTCTTTTTTTTCTTTGTCCCTTTTCTCTTTATCTTTTTTTTTATCTTTTTCTTTTTCTTTAGATTCAGAAACATCCTTCTCTTTCAGATCTTTGTCACTTTTTTCGCGGGATTTCTCTCGTTTTTCTTTACTTTTAGATGAAGTAAATTTAAAAGCTTTTGATTTTTTGGTGGATTTAGATGGACTTCTATAATTGTAATTTGCAATAAAAGCTTCACAAATACAAACAAAAAAAAATCACTTTCTTACTTAGTTTCCAACTCTTCTTCTGGGGAACTTTCACTTCCTTGTAAAGTTGCATATCTTAAATCTTTCTTTTCTTTTTTATCTTTTCTTCTGCCAATCAACAACTCCTTTTTGCTTAACTTTTCATGATCACCTTCACTAACTAAAAGAGAGCAAATATTTTTTTTATATAGTCCAAGTTCAGACCGAGCAAATACATATATGCAAATACGTACAATCACTTTCTTCCTTTTTTTTATTTGCACCTGATTCCGAAGCGTACAGCCCCGGGAAATCTTTTTCAACGTCCGGACTATCAAAATCCATAATTTATCCCCAGTTTTCTCTCAAAAAACTTATTATTTGTGTATAGTACAGAATTTAAGTTATAAAACCACGGCTGACAGAAATACACTTTGTTTGAAAGTTTTGTTATGTCAAGTGTAAAACAGATGTTCTTTGTTTTCAAACACACACATACTTCCAATTACCAATAAGTCAGTGCGCTGAATTAATTAAATTGGAGTAATTTCACTCCGTAAAATGTTTAATTCGATACAATGTAATATTTTCAATAGTTGCTGGAGTTAGTAAAAATGGAGTATAGTTAAAACTGACTTTGAAACTTGACTTTGAATGAGAATTATTTGATTATATCAGGTACAATAGGTTTTTGGACAAAGATAACTTAATTTTTTTAGTAGGCTATAGTTGCCTAAGTACTAATTTTTTTTAATTCCAATTTCAACTATAATTTTAAAGAATGGTGAAAACAAAACCAAAATTTTCTGTTCTACAAAGATAAATTACTGTTACAATTGAATGACATAACAACGAGCTCAGCAAATAAAAATTAATAATCTAATAAGTGTAACAAAATTTAATTCTGCAATATTTCTTTCATATTAAACCTAATTGGTATATAAAAACGATAAAAGAACATGATACTAATGATAGCTATCTTTAATTGCACATGAATATATGTATATAAAAAAAATCCATGCACAAAGTTGATTTCACATTTGTGTTATTAGTTTTAAGAGAGGAGTAATTCTGAATAAATTGGCTGAGAATAATATCGCACATTTATATTTGTATATTACTTTACTCTGATACAAGGAAAATATGCTTCAAGTTTTTTGCATTTGGGTACATACATATCTTACTTTCCACGCTTGTACAGAAAATTAGAATTCAAAAAGCAATTAATTTAAAAGTTACTTCAAAAATGCAATAAATGAAATAAAAATTTTCATTGAAAAAAGATTTTACTGTAAATAAATTTAAAAACACGACATCGCTAAAAGAATTTAGCGTTCAAATATGTATAGAAAAACAAATCAAATAATAAGCAACCTTGAGAGTTGAGATGTCGTGGATTTCGGATTTAGCTGACAGAGCAGAAAATATTTTAAATAAGTAATTTATCAAGATTGTAATTTAAAACTTAACATTTATTGTAAGTTATTTTCTTACATATTTTTAGAATCGATCAAAATGCTGCTACCGTCCTCAATCCTTCCACTCCTACAAAAAAATCAGAAAATGATGACTTTATTTCATCAAGTAAGCAAGACATTAAGCAAATACCTTCTACAAGCAAGAAAGATCCATTTTCTCCAAAAAATCACTTAAAAGACGAATCGAATGCATTTCAATCAACTTTAAATTATAATGATTCCGAAATTCCTGATTTGAACCATGAACCTACTATGAACAGTGATTATATAGCAAATAATGAGTTAGTAGCTTTTAAAATTGCATTAGCGGAAGTAACAGCAGAAAACGATGAGCTGAAAAATGAAATTTCTGATCTAAAGAAAGAACTCAAAACTGCTAAAGCTGAAACGAGAATTCAAGAATTGAACGAATTTTTGGAATCATTAACATCAGAAAAAAACGAATTGAGTGAAAAACTGAAAGAAGCTTTGTCAACAAATGACGTTTACATTAAAAATATATCCGAATTGGAAAGTAGTTTAGCAAAAAAAAGGCAAGATTTATACGATGTAAGTGAAAAATTAAAAAACCAAACAAGAGAAGCTGAACAAAAATCAGCAGACCTAGAAAACTATCGCAAAAAAGCACAATCTACATTACAAATGAAAGATAAAATTATTGAGGAATTAAAGCAAGGAAATATTTCTCGTATTGAAAATTTTGAGCCAGATGAAAATAAAATCCAACAAATAGATATTGAAAACATGAAACATGATATTGTTATAAAAAACAATCAAATTTTAGAATTCCAGCAAGAAATAGAAGAGTCTAACAGCTTAATTGAAAATTTACAAAAAGAATTGAAAAATAAGGAAACTGAAATAGAAAATATGCGAAATGTTTTAATGAATAATTTAAAAATTGAACAAGAAAAATCATCAAATTTGGAAGCTGAAATGAAATTATTAAATCACGAAATATCTGCAATTCGACAAGAAACTAACCGTCAAAGACAAATGCATATTGCTCAACTTCATGAAAAAGAACAACAGATTATTAAATTAAGAAAAGGGAACGCTGATTATCAAGCGGTAGGTGATTCGAATAACGTAGAAGCCAGACTTCAATCTCTTACACAAGCTCTTTTTCAAAAGCAAACCACTCTTGAAACAATTACTTCAGAAAAAAATGCATTAAAATTGCAATTAGAAAAAGTGGAGGTAATTTTATTTTTATTAAAGTCATATAAACAATATATTAACGATCAATCTTTTAGGATCAGCTAAGGCATGTAATAAATCAAGGAAGACTTTCCAATCAACAGTTAATTCACGTAAATGATACTGACGATGGTAAATTGGATTTAAAATTATGTATTATTTTAAATACTAAATTATTTATCGGTTTTAGCAAAAGCTCAGTTTCCAATTTTGATGAGGGAGAACCCTTTTGACACCAGAGTGACGAGGCGAGTAAAAAGAGCTTATAGTTCTTTGGATTCAGCTGGTATTAGAGTTGGAGTTTTTCTAAGACGTTATCCATTGATTCGAATTGCAGTAGGTTTATTTTACTATTAAATTAAAAACTAAATGCAATAAATCTTAAATTGTAACAGGTATTGATTTATATTGCAATGGTTCACTTGTGGGTTATTTTTGTATTATTTTCCTCTACACCGTCCTAACATTGGGCAATATTTTAAGCATCACATTCTAGCATCAACAAACGTTAGATATAAATATATATGGATACACGGCAACACACGTATATGTACAAATATCTGGTTGAAAATTCCATTGAAAATGATAAAACAAAATAATTAAATTGTACGATAAATTTAATTTAGGTATCATTCAATAATATACATAAAAACTAGAAAATAATTATACGTTAATATATCATACAAAATAAACGTTAATATTGTAGTGGCATAAAAATTACAAGGAATTCAGATCATAATAATAAATATAAATAATCTAACTATACAAAAATTTTAGAAACTTTCTTATTTTGTATTGCATCCGGAGAACGTTATTTGCCAAGTTCGCTGTTCCATACAGGAATTCCGCGATACACAAGCGGTATTAAGTGATAATACTTCTGTGAACCTTTAGAACGAATTTTACTCAAAATTGCAGCTAATCTTGGCTCATATTGAATTTGTTTAGTTTTGGAATTTTTTTGAGAGGGGACAATTTTGCCTTTTCTCCATAATTGGAAATCGATACAACTCCAATGAGGTTTCTGTTTAGATGAAATCCATGTACTTAAAATTTCTGTTGCTATTATATCCAAACTATAATCAAATGCTATATGAATACACCCAATAACAGCGGGACACAAACCTTTATGGAAATATAAATGTTCACCAGTCATTTCCCCATAACTTGTTTTCGATGACAATTTCACAGATTCACAACCAAAAAGAAATACAACTGGATTTTTTATTTCAGCAATGTGTAGTTTATGTGGATTTAAGTAATCCATACCGTGACCATGCCCACAATAAACATATATACCATTTGAGTTAAAAATTTCCTTAATTTTTTCTTGTGATGGTTGTTTTCCAAATGTAAAATCATAATTTGGTAACCAATATCTTCCAAATTCTCGAATTCGATTCTCTGAATCTTTCAAATTGTTTTGCGGGTTCACCAAAAAATGGCCATACTTAACACTTATTTCTAAATAACCTTTATTTATTTTCGATTTATGTTTACAAAAAATCTTATTTAAGATGTTTAATGAGGAAATACGACAAAACTCTTGCGATTTATTCAAAAATTCCCATGGAAAATTATCTAGAAGTTCGTCTATTATAAGTAAACATGGCTTTTTACTTTTCATATCTTTATTCGAGAGTTCTGCTGACATTTCTTTTAGAAATTCGTACAAAAGGCTTTTAATTCTTTTACTCCTTCCATCCGCGAGATATTCGCTAGCTATCCTACAATTTTCTTCTATTAATTTTTTTGGCTCCTTTAATAGAAGACCAAGAATGATCGAAGTATTGTTATCTAACTTACATTTTTTGCAAAATGTTCCAACTTTATGTAGGATCTCTCTCTCAATTTCTTTATTTTCCAAATTTCCAGAGAATAAACACACCCAAGGACCAAGTTCCTTTTCTAATTTTGCTATACTTGCAATAATTTGATTTTCCAAAGGCAAAATTTTTTTCAGGTACTTTAATTTAAGTTTTTCGTCACAATTATTAAGAGATAAACTATCGGAAGATAATGCTTTAAAATTTTCTTGAATTTCAAAAAAGTTTTTGAACAATTCACAATCACTGAACTCTATCTTAATGCATATAAAATTATCTAATATATTATCTGCTGAATGTTTCAAAATACTTAAATAAATCGGCAATTTTGAAGTTACATTTTCTTCTCTAGTTTTAAGGCTCATATACTCATTATAATCTTTGGTTATTTGCAGCACCATCCATTCTTCTGGCATATCTTTTATTGAAGATTTCATTTCTAAAACTTTTTCTGTAATATCAAAATCTGATGTAAAATCTCTATTAGCATATTTCACTTCGGCTATTGGAAAATTTTCATTTGCAAAATCAAGCAAAGGATTAGATTTTGATTTCTTAGCTTTAAAATGCTTTGGGAAAATTACATCTTCGAGGAAAGTATCTCCATAAGAATCCAAGCTATTAATTTCAAAAATATTTCTACTATCGAAGGTATTACACAAAGCCTTAGCATGGAAATATACAGCTTTCTCTATATCATTATTATCATATGCATTCTTTGCTAAATATAATAAAATATTCCTAACTTCTGGTGGCGCATTTTTCAAATGATCCATGTAAAAGTGAGCAACAGCAGCCAATTCATCTTTTGTATAATTCATTAATTCCTGAAATAAACCAAGTTTAAATATATTTTCTATTATATAATATAACTTACACATACTTCTAATTTAGATATTTAAGTTTAAAAGTGGTTTTATTGAAAATTGGCACAGTAATTTTAAAAATTTGTTTTACAAACAGTTATATACAAATTGACAACAATCCAACCGACAAATTTAAACTGTCATATTTGATTCACCATATAAGTTTTCAACATGACATTTGACATTTCCCAAATTTACAAAAATTACCCAAATTTTGAGTAGTTCGAGCAGTCACGGCAATTCAGCACTGGTTTTTGCATTACGTACTAACTTTTATTACCAGCAATTTAACATAAAATAATTTTAACTGTTTGTTATTCTACTATTCCCTTAAATGGAATTTTTTTTATTTGGTCATATTTAAAGCAATTTCACATAAATAGGTTAGACATTCTACATAAATAGATTAGTTATTACATTTAAGACACCGTTTACATACACAACAAAATCTAAGGTTAAATAAATATACAGAGATATTTGATATCACACCGAAATCTGATATACCTATTGCTTACCGGTAGATAAACATCTTTTAATTTGAAAGAAAATTCATTCACATACATAACATGTTACATATTTAAAAAAAAAGTTAAAATATTCAAACGTTGTTAAATATTCAAAAAATATTTTATTTTGATAATATGTACACTCTTATAAAATGTGAGTTAAGCAATTTTCATAATATATTATTCTTTGAGAATAAAATGCTATTGGCTATAGTGTAAACAGGGCATAAGTAAACACAAGTAAATGTCAAATAAGATATTAATATTAACTCGCAAGTTGAAACTTATCTAATTTCACTCATTCACATTTTCTATCAAACAAACGTCATTTTTACTTTCTATGACTTCAAGAGGGCAGGGCCAGGCTGCATTAAGTTTTATCTGTGGAAAAATAAATTAATTAAAATAAAAGGTAAATGATTCACAAGTAACGGATTATTTAATAAAAAATATTATTCAAAATAAATTAAAATGTAATTAATTTTATTTTTAAGTATATTTATTAAAAAATTCTTCATAATATATTTCAGAAAAAAAATCTGCATATATTTTTATTAGGGGAAATGTGTTAGGCTAGAAAAATACAATGGATGTGTTCAAAATTATAAGCAACCAATTTTGGTCAACAAAAATATGGTTACCCCCCAATACAACTTGGGCAGATATTGCACCTGGATCAAGACCCGATGTTAGACATGCTGACTATAGAGATTTGATATGGCCATTGCCATTAGCAGTTGTAATGCTTTTCTTAAGGTATGTCGTTGAAAAATATTGGGTGGCTCCAATAGGTAAATCCTTAGGCATTAAGTCCACACGTCCAAAGAAAGCAACTCCAAATGAGACATTAGAAAAAGCTTACCAAAAAAGAAACAGGTTGACGCATAAAATGGTTGCTGGCTTAGCAAAACAGAATGATATGAAGGAGCGACAAATCGAAAGGTGGTGGAGATTAAGAAGAGCTCAAGATAAACCAACAACATTAGTAAAATTCTGTGAGAATTCTTGGAGATGTTTATATTATTTATTCAGCTTCGTATATGGTATCATTATCCTGTCAGATAAACCATGGTTTTGGGATATAAAACATTGTTGGTATGGATACCCACATCAGTCAATCTCAAATGATATTTGGTGGTATTATATGATTTCAATGTCATTTTATTGGGCCTTAACTTTTTCACAATTTTCTGATGTTAAAAGAAAAGATTTTTGGCAAATGTTTGTCCATCATGCAGTTACATTACTTTTAATGGCTTTAAGCTGGGTTTGTAATTTGCATCGTGTGGGCTCATTGGTGCTAGTTGTTCATGATTGCGCAGATATATTTTTGGAAGCAGCTAAAATGACTAAATATGCAAGCTATCAAAAATTATGTGATACAATTTTTGCAATATTTACTGTAATTTGGATAATAACAAGACTTGGATTTTATCCAAGAATTATTTATAGTTCATCAGTTGAGGCACCAAGAATTTTACCAATGTTCCCAGCATATTACATATTTAATAGTTTATTAATAATGTTACTTTTGTTGCATATAGCTTGGACATATTTAATATTACAAATTGCATACAATGCACTAAAAGTTGGTCAAATGGAAAAAGATATAAGATCAAGTAGTAGTGAAATATCTGAAAGCTCTGAAAATTCTAAAGGGCAACCAGAATCTCCTGCAAGATCAAAAAATATAAATCAAAACCATAAACAGGAGAAATAGATTTAATTAATTTAATCATCACAATTTATTTTAATTACATTTCTATATAATTTTTTTTTCAAATAGAGTGCTGGATCTTCACTTTCATTCCGAGCAAATTTACAAATAATACAAAATCAAAACAAAATAAAAAAAGTATGATTAACTAGTTTGAACTTTTAAGATTTTATAATATAATATAAATATATATACGTAAGATGCATATATGTAACATTATTAACTCTAATACCAAGTTTCGTTATTTTGCTGTATATCAATATATGATGCATTTTGAAAAAAAATTCACATTTGAAAATAAATAATTTATTTTTTTTGTTTTTAATGAAAAAAAAATATTTACATGTTAAGCGAGTCAAATAAAGTGTTTCAGTAAATTCATATAATTTTTATAAATTTTTTTTTTATAAAAATAATTTTCTTTTAATAAATTTTGCTATATGTGAGAAAAATGAAAAATGAAAATGTGTTTTAAAAAAAACTTACTAAAAATAATAAGTTAGAAGTGTTGTTATTTTATCTTCGGTCAAGATTTTGCAGTAAAAATTCGAAATTAGATTGAAATAGGCACCTATGTCTACAAAATTATAGCCTCCATACAAATTTTATTAAGTACATAGTCAGAACAATTTTATCAATGAATTTTTTATTCTGTATAAGAGAATTTTTATGGGTAGTATGAGTACTTTAATTGGGTGATTAAGATTATTTTTTCAATAATTATAAAATTTAGGAAGAAAACCAACTAATCAGAATTTTTGGTTCACTTAGATTATGTACACATTTCATTAAACAAATAAACATGCTATACATAAAAAATACGCAAACATTTGTATACAAAAATTGGCCAAAAATGATGAATCATTTATTAAATATCTTTAAATTTTTAATAAAATTATGTATATGAATGATTCTAAAGTGACCATTCTTTTCGCAACACAATCCGAGATATACATTGTTTAGCATGTCATATGTAAATAGGTGTTCGTTTTAATTGAGAACATTCTGTTTGAAAACTATAATTTCTGGTACTATTCACTCGGTACTTAGAAATTTATTTACGGTTTGGGCCGGGAAATTCCGGTCTGATGGTTATCCCATCATGACTCATAACCAAGCATAATACGATGATAATAATTTGTTAATATCATTCTTACTTACATAATATCAATGTAATTATCAACCTAACTACCTTAATTTGATTGCGAAGTATTTATTGATAAATAAATGCGGAAAAAAAATTTATAAAGATAAGATAAAATATTTTCTAATAAATTTCTGTGCGGTTAAATACATAGTATATTTAAAGTGACCATATTTCTTCATTTAACCAAAGATATCTGCTTTTTAGCTGACAAAAATATTCTTCCCATAATTTCCAAATTTTATTTTGCCAATCAGCTTTTTCTATTTTACAACAATCAACACGTATATTAAATGTTTCAAAACCGTACCGTTTGCATGTAAATTTTTTTTTGCTTCTGTTTTTTTATTCGTTGTACAATGGTCACCCTAACAATACTGATAAAAGCTAATAGATTAAATAATTAAAGTAATTATGCAAAAATTATAATATAAAAAATAAGTTACTATGTAATGGTATTCAGTCATTTTCTTCATCATTTTCTTAAATAAATTTTAAGCTTCTAGAAATTCAAAAGTCCATGGTTTAACATCATTAAAAATTTTAATTATTAAAATTTTATACAAGACATGAAAAGGTTAATAATCAGGTTTAATCATACAATTATACACAAAAATATACAAAATATAAAAATTCTATTATGATTATAAAAGTTTCTTAGTATTTTTTTTAAATAACTAATTTGAAACTTTTGAGATTGGTTTGGTTAGTAGCTTTAATAAAAAAAAAAGAAAAATCAATTTTTTTTTATATTTGACACTGTACATACATATGTACATATCACTCTACAATCATCAACCTTGACCCGAAAATATTATGATGTTAAATTTTGTTAAAATTATATAATACGTACACATGTAGTCAGTCATAACATTTAAAAGTTAAAAACGGTTATTATTAAACCAAAAAAAAATTTGTAACCAGTTAAAAAATTAAGAATCAGTTAATTACCCATTTTTATTGTTCCCCAACAAAAAATATATTTTTAACCAACATTGTACAATACCACGTAATATATACATAAATATTTCTTCTTCTATTGAAATCTTCAAATTGAAACAAGTTTACTACTAAGTTTACGAATAATCTTAGTTAAAATTTAAATATAAGTAAGTATCTATCTACAGTACCTACCATTACTTACTCCATTACTTATATCTAAAGTTATAAATACACACATGTGCAGACCAAATGTCTTAAACATTTTGTATACAAACGTTATGAATGTTTACGTACATAATGTAGATTTAACTCCAAAAAGAAAAAATTTTTATCTATTTTTGTAAGATGACTGAATGCAAAAAGATTTCTTCATCTTACAAAAAAAAATTTTGGACATTTTAAATTAACGAGTAGCGAATTCAAGAACTTACTATACTTATTATGTACGCGTATGTATATATAAAATGTACATAAGTATGTAAGTGTGTTAGATAAAATTTAAAAACTCAAAGGCTAATTTAATAAATTTATTCTTTTCTTTATGCATAGATATATCATTATACTACTCTCATCAGAATCATTATGTATATATGTACATACTCGTATACACATATGTGTGTGATCATGCACATTCTTCATTCGTTTTTTTTTTCTGAAAGAGTTTTATTGGTACATTTGTATACATATAATAATAAACGAACTCTAATAAACTAAGTAATTAATAGGGCACTCTATAAAAACTAAATTGTATACACAGTAATACCTCGCTAATATGACCGCAGTGAAAATTTTCAAATATCTGTGTCGAAGAGTAGTTTTTGGTTAAAGGCGGGTTTTTGGTACATTATTGTTTAATTGCATTAAGAATGAAATGTAATTTAGAATTTCCGTATAATTACATATGCCTAAACTATTAATCAAATCTTCAAATTGGCATAATTCAAATTTTCAAGCTAAGCTATCGTAAACACGTGAAAAATGCAAGGAAAATAATACTGGTAACAAATTTATACATACATATGGTCTTCTAATCCTGTAGTATTATATGGAATTTTTGTACTCGATGGACCATTACCATTTTTATCATCATTATTTATTAATGTTTTTGATGATGATAATATTGTTGATTCTGTTGTAGTCATTTTTGTTTTATTATCATTATTATCATCAATATTAATAATATCTAATTTTGTATCACTTTTTGTTGCAACCTCATATTTTGAATCGAAGTCCGAATTTATTTCTGATTATGGTAATGATGCTGTTGGAGAGCGAATTCATATTTCCGAAGGATCTATAGCAAAAAGAGCTTTAGTTTTCTTATTTAAGTAATTTTAAATAAGGAACGCTAATGCTACTTAATTTAAAAGCACTGAATAAATTCTAATGCATTTAGAATTTTCCATTTAAGCTACTTGCAATATTATTTGAAAACGAACAAACATGTTCAAACAATGGAAAATGTTAAAAAATAGCAATTAATTTTTATAGCTTAAAATAAAATTCAAAATTTTAATTATAAAAAAAAAATTTAATAGCTGTTGAAGCGTTGAAAATTACTAATTGAGTTTATTTGAAAATATTTGTAAAACCCAATTCTATTAGTGTGATTAATGGAACAAAGAAATAATTAAGTATGAATTTATTTTTATATTTAAAATTAGTTACCAATAATTTTTTAAACCAAGTTATATTACACATGAATTAGAAAAATCCTTTGAACATTATTATATGCAATAATACGCAAGTTAACTAACTAGTGCTTAAAATTTAATAATTTTAAAAATTAAATCTTTATTTTAGTTCTTAAGTTTATTAAAAATTTCTTCATATTATATTTCAGGAAAAAACTTGAATACATTTTTACTAGGGAAAATGTGTTAGGGTAGAAAAATACAATGGATTTGTTCAAAAGTATAAGCAACCAATTTTGGTTAACAAAAATATGGTTGCCCCCAAATACAACTTGGGTAGATATTGCACCTGAATTAAGAACCGATATAAGATATACTGACTATAGAGATTTGATATGGCCATTGCCATTAGCAATTATAATGCTTTTCTTAAAGCATGTCATAGAAAAAAATTGGATAGCTCCAATAGGTAAATCTTTAAACCTTAAATCCACGCGTCCAAAGAAACCAACTCCGAATGAGAAACTGGAAAAAGTTTACCAAAAAAAAAACAGGTTAACGCATGAAATGGTTGCTGGCTTAGCAAAACAGAATGATATGAAGGAGCGACAAATTGAAAGATGGTGGAGATTAAGAAGAGCTCAAAATAAACCAACAATGTTAGAAAAATTCTGTGAGAATTCTTGGAGATGTTTATATTATTTAATCAGCTTTACATATGGTATCATTATCCTATTGGATAAGCCATGGTTTTGGGATATAAGATATTGTTGGTATGAATATCCACATCAGTCGATCTCAAATGATGTTTGGTGGTATTATATGATCTCAATGTCATTTTATTGGGCCTTAACTTTTTCACAATTTTCTGATGTTAAAAGAAAAGATTTTTGGCAAATGTTTGTCCATCATGCAGTTACATTACTTTTAATGGCTTTAAGCTGGGTTTGTAATTTGCATCGTGTGGGCTCGTTGGTGCTAGTTATTCATAATGGCGCAGATATAAATTTGAAAGTAGCTAAAATAATGAAATATGTAAACATCGAGAAACATGCAAAACAAATTTATTTGCAAAATTTAGCGTATTCCAAGAATTGATTTTCATCCAAGAATTATTTATCAGTTGACCTACCAAGAATTTTAGCAATGTTCCCGCATATCACATACTTATATTTAATAGTTTATTAATAATGTTACTTTTGTTATATATACATAGCTTGCATATACATATCTAACATTACGAATTGGATACAATGTATTAAAAGTTGGTCAAATGGAAAAATATATAAATTAAGTGGTAGTGAAATATCTAAATCTCTGAAAATTTTAATGGGCAACCGTCTTGCAATATCAAAAAATGTAAATCAAAACCATTAACATACTTGCATATATAATTTTTTTATCAAATAGAGTACTGAATCTCCAATTTCATTCCGATCAAATTTACAAATAATATAAAATTGAAAAAAAAAAAATTACCGCGATATTAACGTTATGGAGTTGTATTCTAGCACTGACAGTTTTAATTCATATTTATTTCAGTATTAAATTGAATTTCGCATCAAAAAACTTTAATTTTTTAGAAATGAAAGCGTATTACAAGATAACACTGTTCGTATGCAATGCAATGTCTTGCAAAAAATTAAAAATTAAATAAATATCGTGAAAACATCAAAGTATTTGTAATGAATATTGTAAAAAAAATGTGATATACAGTTGCGACTAATTTTTTAAGATAAGAAAAATTATGGTAACAAAATATAAAAAATAATAGGTTAGTAAAATATAAAAATATAAATTTTTGAATAAATGGCGGTTAAAGTAAAAGTTATTTGAAAAATTTTGAAAGATTTTGATTTAATACTTAAATATTTCGAAAATTAAAAAAACATTTTTCAGAAAGATTATCTTCAGAGCTAAATAAATTGAGGAGAGCCGTAAAACTGAAAAATTAACCATTACCATTGAATTTCGAAAGTAAATAAACCATTTTTCAAAAGCAAGCTATGAAATAATTAACTTTTGAAATAAAGTTTTTTTTACAACATATGGCAACAAATTTTTAAGTGGCAAATAGAATTCTGGTTCTTGTCCTCGTTTAAATGACAGTGACAACTGACAACTACATAAAAATTTTTTTGTTTGTTTTTTAATTTTTTTTTTGGAATTTTTGCCTTTGTTGAGTATTTTTATTTTGAAACAAAACAAGAATTTTGTTTTTTGTTTGTATATTGTGTTAATTGGAGAAATTTCAAAAAAATTTAATAACAAAGAATAGTCGTAATAGAATAGGTCTAGAAATAAAGTTCATTGATACAGGTACTTCAAAGAAACATAAAAATATATGTAATTTGTACATCGCAATTATAACAAATTTAATGAATTAGTTTTATAAATCAAATCGTAGCTGCTCATTATTCTATGGATAATTTTTAGAATATTCCAGATTTTTTATTTAGTTTTCATCACTAGTTTTTTACATACATATTTATAAAATATAAATTCAACTATACGTTTTACAGATATTAAAAATGAAACAAGACTTAAGAAATGAATTGTTTTCTAAGCAAATGAGATTGGTAACACGAGACATTCACAAAATAAGTGATCATTTGGTCAATGCAAAATTAGCATTTGGTAGATATTTAAATTTTTTTTTGTATTGAAGAAACTAAATAAAAGTTTTTTTTTCCAGCTTTGTCTGACGATGCCGTTTGGGCTGAAGGATTATTAATTTTTTATGAAATTTTTAAGTTTCTTGAAATCAATGCACCACCAGACATCCTTCCCCCTGTATTTCATAGAACAAAAGCATTTGAAAGTGATCTAAATTATTATTTAGGTAGGGAATGGAAAAATTCATATAGTATTCGAAAGGAAGTTCAAGAATATTTAGATCATTTAGAAAAGATTTATAGAGAAAACCCATTAAATTTAATTGCTTATGTTTATCATTTGTACATGGGTTTATTATCAGGTGGTCAAATATTACAAAAAAAAAGATTATTACATAAAAATATATGTATGAATTATAAAGAAATGGATAATGATAATGGATTTGCAGTTACGAATTTTCATAATATAAGTAGCCTTAAAAATTTGCTAAGAAATACAATTGATGAGAAAGCAAAAACACTCGATGACAACATGAAAGAAAATTTATTAGAAGAAAGCAGAAAAGTATTCGAATTAAATAATAAAATTGTTCGAACAGTTAAAGGAGTTAATCAAGTTGGATTAAAAAAAGTTATCGTTTTGGTAGGTTTTATTTTAATATGTATTTTTATTTATAAATCAGTTTTTACTCATAATTAAATTATTTTAAAAATATATAAGAAAGTTGTGAAAATAAATGTAAGGTTTACTTTAATATTAATTAAAATTGGTTATTTTTATTTAAGGCCACTTAAAGCATTTGCATACTGCGAATGGGTTAAATTTAAAATTTTTATATTATGTACGATTTGTATGTAGCAAAAAAAAAAATACAATATGAAATTGAAAATAAATAAAAATACTGAAATCTTTGTAATAATGGAATATGTATTTAAAAACTCTATTTAAGTATCCTGACACGTTTGTTAATTTCGAGAATTTAATTATTTCTTAACTTTTTTTTTAATCTATAATGAATAATTAGCACTAAATCTGTAATGAGCATATCTATCATTAGTTAATCTGCAATGAATCATTATATAAGTTATATTCTACTAAATTTTAGATTATTTAAGAATAAATAAATCTTCCTAATCAAAAATCTAGAGGATTCAGTTAATTTGAATATAATAATTTTATAGATCGAAGGAACTTCCATTGTCGTCTCTCTTATTAAGACCTATTTTTAGAAAAATCACGTAAAATAAGAAGTAATGACTTTTTCTTTTTCAATATTTTTGAAGTCACTTGAAAGAAGTATTTAATGAATTACCTCTGGGTTAATTACAATGATTTGCTTACGCTAAATCCTCCAAGATAATAGATGATAAAAAAGTATATTCTTATATGTACCTACTTGCATCATAAAAAAATTTAACTTTTTAAACTTATTTAATTTTTTTAATTGTTAATTAGGTAAATATACCACATACATTATAACCCTTCAGACTCTTACCCAAAAAATAATATTTTCCAATTTTTAAACAGATAAATTTTCTTAAAAATTGTGAAAAAAATTTGGTTTTTTTTTATGGAATAAATAAAAACAAATCAATTTATAAAGATATATAATGTGTATTTTTTAAAAGTTGCAATTTCTCTATATCTATAAGATTGTAGTTTTTATTTATAAAATTATTTTACAATTATTCATACTTTATGATATGATTTTTTTTTTGTTTATATACATATTTGTATTATAATAGATATTTAATAATTTTTTAATTAAATTTTACTAATAAAATATAAAGTACAAAACAAAATAATATACAAAAAGTTATATAATAATAATTTATTTTAGAGTGACTACTATAATATAATTAATTTCGTATCTAATTTATTGAGTTTAAAATAAAAAAAAAAAAAACAAATAATATACATAAGTTTAAATACGTAAATATATTTTCTTTTAATAGAAATAATTTTTTTTTTGTTTGTCTATTTCCTATTAAAATTTAAATATTGCTTCTATATTGCCTAACAAATAGTAACAATAATTATTATCACAATAAAAATAGCGATTTTTTTTACCAAATCTTTTTTATCATTATTTTTTTTTTTAAATAAAAATAAAGTTTTTAATATATATTTACATAAATTTTAAATAAATATATAAAATTTATTTATAATATTTATGAAATAAATTTGTGGTTCAAAAGAATAGCTTTCTTATCTTATTGCTGCCTTCGTTTAAAATAAGCATCAAAACTTTTATCATTATTAATGATAGTTTTTTTTTTTTTTCAATGAAAAATATTAAACACAACATTTTTCTTAGTTCAATTTAAATATTCCTTTAAAATTTTAATTATGTATATATTTTAAATCAATATCCATCACAATAAAATTAAAGGGTTTCATGATACATACTTAACTATTAACTTTTGTTACAAGTCAAAAATTTTTAAAGAAAAAAATTTTACAAGGTTTTAGAAGATTTTATACTTAATAAATTTAATTTTTCAAGAGGTAGTGATGTTACACTTAAAATAAATTATATACATATATATTTGTAATCCACTTCGCATGTTAACTGTATACAATTTTAAATATACCTCGCATAACATTTTTTAAACTTAAAATATTTTAAAGGTAAAATTTGCTATAAATCTCTTTTGACAACTTATTTAACATTTTTATTGTGCTGAGATCGTTTAATTTTTTTTAAAATTTGTGATATTTTTCTTACAATATTTATTTTGATTAAGAGAAAAGAAATTTTATAATAATATCAGTGAAATCAATTCAGTATTAAAGAATTTTAAAAGATTTTCTGAAAAGATTTTTTTTTTTTTGATAAAGCTATAAATTGATGCTTTTTTTACAACAAAAATAAAAAAGTTGATAAATTTAGCATTTAATTTGTTTTTATACATTAAATTAAATTAATTTAAATTATTAAAAAAAAAAAAAATTAAAATATAAATTGCTTTCTATGTTGACTTTTAATTAATTTTCATTTACAGGTGCTGATATTTTTGTAGCATACATATGTGTCACTCTATATATAAATTCATATTGTTCTTTTGTTTGAATCGCACTAGCTCGGCCCCTCCTTACATAATATACAATTTGTGGTATATCTACAGTTCGTTTTGGAGTTTCTAAACTCCTAATTGCAATATCACATGCAATTATTGTTCCAGTTCTGCCAGTTCCTGGGGAACAATGGACCAGTAATGGGCTAAAAAATAACAAAAAAAAAAAAATGTATTTTAATTAAATTTTATACATTCTTCGATTTAACATTTTGGTTTTGAAGAAAATTTACCAACCCCTGAGACTTTGACAATGTTTTTGTTGTTGTTGTATTAGTTTTATTAGTGTTATCATTTTTATTTTCTTTTTGATCTACCGGTTCATTCTTAATATTATTTTCATTATCATCACTTATTTTATTTACTTCAGATGATACTTCTTTTGTTGTAGATGGTGTTACTGTTGTTTTTGAATCATTTCTTTTATCATTATTATCAATAATTTCTTCATCATCTACTTGTTCATTGGCGGCAGTTTTTAAACAACTTCTTGCTTCTAATAGCATTGCTATCATAGGTGCTTCATCACTTGGTACACCAGTAATTGGCCATTGATACCAAAAATGTGTTATTTCACGCCATGCATTAGTTTTTAAATTTTTAACATGTAAAGTTGAAACAGCATATTTTTCTTTAACTTCACGATTTTTTAATGTTATTTGATAATCACCATAAACAACATGATTATCTAAAATCATTGATTCTGGTATATAAGCTGCACATTTTTCTATTCCATTTTCTTCTAAATCTGTTGCCATTATTATTACACGAGAATTTTGTTCCCATATCATTCGCCAAAAATCTGGTACTGTGCTTTCTAATGGAGCCTGACATGCAATGTAATAGTTTGGTGAATCTTTTGGGCCCTAAAATATCAAAAATGAAGGAAAAAAGAATGTGACTATTAAATGGCAAACTTACACCTTCTCTGTTTTTATAATTTTAGTTAAAATTATCATAACATCACGATGTTAAAGAAAATGATTCAGTACTTACCCTAACATAATTTGCATTTATATATTCTGTTTTTTCATCACCATCTTGTTGTTGTAAAATTACTCTTGTTTCTGGTAATGGTATAACATTGGCATACCTAAGGAACATTGTTAAGTAGTTATAAAATTTTTAAAACAAAACTTAATTAAATTTTTTTTTTATTTATAAAAAAATTTACCTATTTTTATCTTCACATCCAGCTGGAACTTCATCAGCCTTAGCTGTAATCTGTGGAATATCTTTAAATTCATCAAATATTGCACTTTTTTTTCCAACAAAACGATTTAAATCATGTATTCCCATTGGATTATGTATTAATGATGGATCATCGAATGCAACATTACCATAACTTCTTTTTGAGACACTATTTCGAAAACTTTTACCACGTATACTATCACGTATTGATATATTATACATTGAGTATGCATCTAAACCAACTGGACGACATCTCTGACCATATGTTGTTTGTTTTTGACGTTTTCTCATAACTATTAAAAATCCAACAAGTAATATCAAAGCAATAATACCAACAACACTAACCGATACAGCAACAATAACATTATAATCTGTATCATTTGATGCACCTTCTAATCCTTCAGTATTATATGGAATTTTTGTACTTGATGGACTACCACCATTTTTATCATCATTATTTATTAATGTTTTTGATGATGATAATATTGTTGATTCTGTTGTAGTCATTTTTGTTTTATTATCATTATTATCATCAATATTAATAATATCTAATTTTGTATCACTTGTTGTTGCAACCTCATATTTTGGATAAAAATCAGAATTTATTTCCGATGATGGTAATGATGGTGTTGGAGAACCAATTAATATTTCTGAAGGATCTTTAGCAAATGGGATTGTTTGTAATGTTGATTGTATATCTAAACTATTTTCAACTAAAATTTCTTCATTATTATTTGGTATTTTTAATGGATTTATTGTTGTTGTAGGTTGAATTAATTTAGGAAATAATGATGATTTTATGGTAGGTGGTTGATGTTTTTCTATTACATCATTTTCAATAGAGCTTTCTGAAGTCGGTTTGACTGTAAAATAAGATAATAAAATAAAATTAAAAAACATTATATTTATGTACGTTCAAAACAAATTTACTAATATTAATAGACTTATAATAAATTAAAAGATATGGGTAATAGTTAGACTGTTTTGAATTTTGAATGCGCAACTTTAACAACTGAATGTCGTAGAATAATGCAATATCGGGAATTATTGTTTATTGTTCAGTTGATATTGAGTCACAATTTTCATAAAAGTTTTGTAAAATCATACGATTTTCCAAAAAAATATAGCGCCCGTTTGAGATTTATTGTAATTTTAAAATCCAATAAAATTGAACAAAGCAAAATGGATAATCCAATTATATCGATATTAAATATAATACAAGGTATGCTCGTATTGAAGATACAAGCGTAATTAATTTTATTAACAAGTTCATAAATTATTGCACAAGCAATTACTAGAATATCGTAAGCGCTAGAAATTATAATATTCTACTCGTACATTCAAACAATTTTGATATTAAGTTTTTCAGTTTTTAAATTTATTTAATTTTCCTATTTAATAATTTTAAATCCGGAACGCTAAATTTACTCAATTTAAAAGCACTGAATAAATTCTAAGGCATTTAGAATATAAGTTAATCCATTTAAGCTACTTGCAATATTATTTGAAAACGAACAAACATGTTCAAACAATGGAAAATGTTAAAAAATAGCAATTAATTTTTATAGCTTAAAATAAAATTCAAAATTTTAATTATAAAAAAAAAATTTAATAGCTGTTGAAGCGTTGACAATTTCTAATTGAGTTTATTTGAAAATATTTGTAAAACCCAATTCTATTAGTGTGATTAATGGAACAAAGAAATAATTAAGTATGAATTTATTTTTATATTTAAAATTAGTTAGTTACCAATAATTTTACAAAGTTATTTTACACAAGAATTAGAAAATTCTTTTGAGCCTGATTATATGCAATAATTATGTGACAGTATATTATTAAAAGTGATTAAATTTGAATAATTTTGAAAATTGAAATTTTTTTTAGATTTTTAAGCAAAATATTCATATTATTTTCATTAGACTGAATCGAAAATATAAAAGTAAGAAGCAAGGCAATTAGTTCATTTACTTTTACCTTATTTAATTCACCTTTATAAAATTTCACAAATATCATTTGATAATTTTGCAGAAAATTTGAAATTATTGTCTAATTCACTACTTTTTCTTAATTATTTTAGAATGTTATATTTTAATATACTTAATAGTTATAATTTAAACAAGAACTTTTTAAAAACAGCAACTTCAATTAATTAAAATTAAATTGAAATTATACTACTTAAACTTAATTAATTGTGTCGCCACACAAACTGTTCTAATTATTTTAACAAAAAAAAAATTGAACAATATTGTATATGTTCACATATGTATACATACATGTATGAAAAATCTTAATTGCTGCATCAATTTGCTTACCAATTTCAAATTTTTCTGGTTTTTCAGTTGTTGTTTTTTTCTTAATAATCTCATTACCAATTATTGTTGCAGAAGATGTTGATGATGATGATGGAGTTGTTTCCGATGTTGATGATAATAATCCTGTTAAATATTTTTGATTTTTCTTATTTTTATCATATAAAATCCCGGTTGTAGCTAATGTTGTTGATGTAAAATTACTTTCATCATCATAATCCATACGTGATGTCATCTTAGATTCTTCCTTTGTTTCAAAATGCACCTCTTTCTCTTTTGGTTTTTCTGTTGTTATTATTATGTCGTTTTTAATTTCACTTTCATTTGCTTTTTTTACAATAATATTATTTAAATTTTCATTTATATCCGCTGTTTTATCATTTTCCCTATTATTATTATTTTTTATATTTATATTTTCATTTACTAAAATTGAATTTGTTTCATTTAAACTATTTTCCACGACGGCAGTTAAAAGCTTACTAAAATCGTCTGTAATATTAGAATTACGATTTATAATTTTTGTTTCAATTGTTGGTGTTACTGTTGTTGTTGTTGTTTTTGTTGTCGTTGTTGTTATTGTTTTCGTTGTTGCTGTTGTTGTTGGTTGTACAATTGAATCAAAATTTTGAGCATTTTCAAGGTATTTATCGCTTGAATTATTTTTGAAGGCATTATTTAAACTAACTGCGTTTAAATTATCTGTGATATCTTCCTTATTTGGATGAGCTTTAAATGAAATTTCTAATGGCAAACCCCTTACAGTTGTTGTTGTTGTTATTATTGTTGGCATTATTACTGTTGTAGTTGGCGGTGTTATGTTTTCTATTGTAGTTTCATCATTAATTATTGTGCTAGAGGAAATTGACGTTGATTCTAATACGGATGATGATGATGATGATGATGACGAATCTTTTATATTTTTATTCTTATTATTTTCAATTTCATCTTTATTTGTTATTATTTTCAAATTTTCTGTCTTTTTGTCAATATTATCACTATTGGATGCGTTTACAAAACTGAGTATTTTATTGTCATTATTTTTATTTTGATTTTTAACTATCGTTTCAATGATATTATTTTGATCATCACTACTATTATTTGATGTTTGACTTAATAGAGATTTCTCTTCGTTTAAAATTGCTTTAACTGATTCGGTTGAGTTATTTAGTTTTTTCTGTTGTACTGATTCTTCTACTAAATTTTTTTCATTTAATATAGGTGTTAAATTTGAACTCATTTTCACTTTTTCCTGCTCTTCTTTTTGTAATTTTGGAATCATTTCTATTTGCGTAGAATTTATCACATTTTCTTTATCAAAATTTTCATTTAAATTATTTGATATTGAATCTATTAAAATTTTATTTTTTTCTTCAATAGAATCCGGTAATATTGTTGTTGCTGTTAATTCATTATTTAAAATATTTGATGTTGAGTTTTCCATATCAATACTTTCTTCCATAATTTTTGTCCAATCAGCTAAATGTTTTAATGTTGAATTATCTTGTTCAATATTCACATATTCTGGTGTCGAAGAGGATATTTGTTTTGATGTAGGATTTTCTAATTTAATAAGTTTTTCTTTTGGTAAATTTGATTTCATACCAACTAAAGCCCATAATTCAGCAGCATTTGGTATTTCTAAATCATTTGAAATTGTTGTGATTTCTTTATTTGTTGGTTTTAATTGTAAATTTTTTTCATGTTTTTTATTTTCACCACTATTTCCTATTTCAGAAAAAATTTCATCATATTTATTGTCATGATGACTTCTACCTTGAATTTTAATATTATTTTTTTCAAGTTTCGGAGGCAGCGATGGTATTGGAGATACTGATGATGATGGTAATAATTCATTTTCAATTTTTTCTAGTGTAGCCTTTATAAAAGTCGGTTTGGAATTGTCTGGTTTTGATTCGAGTTCATCATTTTCATTTTTAATAACTGTTTCAGAGATCATGGAATGTGTTTGATTGATTGTCTTATTATTCAATTCATTTTCTAAAATAGAATGTTTTTGAATAGTTGTTTCTAAAATATGTTGATTATTGTCTGTTGAAGATGTTATTGTTACTGGTGTTGTTGAGATTCTATGTTCGTCGTAATCAATATCTTCAAAAGATTTTGTAGTTTCTTCTGGAGGCTCCAAAGTTGTTAATCCAATATCTTGATGTGGATCATGTCTAAAATTATATAAACAAGAGAAATGGTATTAATAAACTTACATGGTTGATTAATTTGAAAATACTTATATTTTATGTACTTCTAAAACACGTTCTTTCAGATTAACAAATATCTACAAGATTTTGGAAAACAACTACAACAAGTTCATAAATTTAAAAAACTAATTCTATAAATTATAAATGTGCTCCCTTGCCATAATTCATTATGAATTATCTATGGCACAAAAATAAATCTTTATTAAATCTCATCTTCAAAATATTAGCTCACCTAGCTTAAACTACATACATTCTGTATTAAACGTACATATAATATGTATGTATGTAGTACAATAATAAATATTTTTTTAATTCACTTCTGTTTGATTAAAGTACACACTTACATACATACGTATATTATAATGAATACCCTACCTACATAGTATTTACATCGTTTTTTCCTTACTCGCGCATACATACATAGGTGCCCGTATTCCACTGCAAATGTGTTATAATACACGACTTATAACTTTAAATTTTCGTTATTCTTTAACACATTTTAAATGCATTTATTACTTTTTACGCACTGAAAAGCTTTCTATTACGTAACTTTAAAAAAAGTCAAATGTTTATTGTAAAAAATTTCACTTGAGACAGTCAACAAACGATCATATTTTTACGATTTAACGTCTACGTCACTATGTCATATCAAATTTGTCATACGAATAATATACATATACTTATATGTGTAAGAAAAATAATATTTATACAACAAGCAATAGCACATAAATAATAATTGTTGCTTTTTTTAACGAATACTTTTCAAAAAAGAGTATATTGTGTAGAGTTGCCTATCGTGACGATTTTTTTTGTAATACATTTATTGCCATATTTGAAAGTATGTAGTGTAACTGAATATTATATATTTAATGAAGAATTCATTTTTTTTTAATCATAAGAATCCCAAGAATAAAATTTTCGAAATTTTTTACACAATATTAATTTTCATTGTCAATAAAGAGTTGGTACAAATCAAGTAAGAGCTAATTGATAGCGATTTGGATCAATCCAGCTTTTTGGATATTAATATCACAGTTCCCTTAAGTAATATTGTTAAAAATTATATTACGGCTTATTCTGAGTATCGAATCACTAAGTGATTGCGATATTTATCGTAAATATTTGAATATTGTTACTGTCAACACCAACCAATTAATTCGTGTTTATTATCAAATTTTTGGAATTTTTACGATAAATACTTACGATAAACGTGATGTGATAGCATACTGTAGGAATGAAAGTATCGAATCCTTAAGTTATGGCGAAATTTATCGTAAAAATTCTAAAAAATTAATTATGGACACGAATCATTCGTATGCATTGGTTTGTGCTTACAATAATAATATCGAACTTTTTACAATAATTATTATCACTTAGTGATTCGAATCTCAGAATAAACTTCATTACCATAAAGAAATTAAACCGACAATAATACCATTTTCAAAATTATTCATATTTTAATTTTATAGTCATACGGAAACTTTAAAATTTTTTTTTAGTATTACTATGAGGGTATATAGACATACATACATAAAATATGAATCATTCAAGATTTGTGTAATTTAATATTGCTTTAACCTAATTAATATAATACCCAAGTATATACTGTACGAAAATTTATAATATTATGTAGATTATGAATGCAATAATTTGATATACCACATATCTAAACTTAATTTTATATGCATATGTACATATACTCAATTTTCATATTCTAGATGGAGAGCACAAATTTTTATACGTGTATTAAATATATAATACTGTTATAAACGATGTTAATTTACTTATTTGGGACTCTTTTCTGTTTTACTTTATAGTTGATATTAATTGCGGTTTTACTTCCCCAATATAGCTTTATATCTCAAAAATATTGAGATTCTCTGTTTAACACAGATATCTGTACCTCATGTGATTATTGAAAAAATAACTATTTGACTATTTTTATCCCTTAATTGTAAATTTTGCGAAGAGCTACTCATAATATGCATTTACGAATTGCAAATAATTGATTTTCAGTAAAATAAAAATTATAGAAAGAAATTCGTACATAACTCATTTAAAACATCTATTTATCGAGGAAACTACTACCTAGAGAATACTTCAGATATATGTATAGTTCTACTATATTTGAAATTATTCGAAATTACGATAAACAAAACAAAAATTATACACTCTCCTAATATTGGAAAACAATAAAAAATTTTATTTATATACCTGAACAAATCCTGTTTTATTGTTGTAATCGGATCATTTACTATGTGTGTCGCCACTGTTGTTGTTGCTGGTGTTGTCGTTGTCATTTGTACTATATTCAAAAATGGTTCAGTAGTTTGAAAATTATTTTTTGCAACATTTTCTTTGGTAACAATACTATCTTCATTTATTTTATTTACAATTGTTGTCGTTTCTTTATTTATATTTACATTTTTATTTACAATATTAGAATTTTCTACTGTTATATTTGATAATAATGGTACTTTTGTCGTTGTAGTAGTTATTATTTTTGTATTACTATCATTGTTATTATTATTATTATCACTTTTATTATTATTGTTGTTGCTAATATCACTATTATTATTAATTAAATTTAATTTTTTTGTCGTTGATAATATTAAAGGAGGTTTTGTTCCAATTGAAATTGATTCGGAACGTGTTTCACTAACAGTTGTAATTTCTGTTCTAAAATTACTTAAATCCACTTCATCTTTATGATTATTAATATTTTTTATAATTATTTTACTATCTTCTGGTGTTATAGTTCTTATCGTTGTAGCTGTAGCTTGTTCATTTTGTTCTTTTAAAATTTCACTTTCTGTATCAGTTGAAGTTTCATTTTTTAGTGAAATTTCTCTTCTTATTATACCACATTCAATATTATCGAAGACAAAATTCGTTGTGATAAATAAAATTAAATAAAAACTGCATATTGAAATTTTTTGTTTTAATGCAATTTTTAACATTTTCATGAATATAAAGTTGTATAATAAAAAATGAATTGTATAATTCTTATTCTTTTGAAAATGGTTGTTTTTTTCCGTAAAAAAAAAGAAATATCGAAAATTTAAGATTAAGTTTGTTAAAATCTGACACTTTTTTCTCCTTTCATTCTCGTTGTGTACTTTATATATTTAGACACAAATGGTAAATCTGGAAATAAAAAAATAAAAATGTATGAAAATTAATATAATATAAATTAAAAAATTATTTATATAAAAGGTTAATGTCAAAAATATAGTATAACACGGCAACACATATGAACAGTACAGCAAACAAGTATATATTGTTATAATGCATTTAATATTCATATATGTTTGTACATGACAAAAATTCAAAAGTGTATAAGAGTTATTGCCGCCGGAAAGGCGAGTTTCGGCTCTTCTATAGGATAATTTATTTATATATATATATATATATATATATATATGGGTTTAAAGTAGCTCTCATAAAACTCTTTAAATTATTTTATAGCATGTATCAATGAATTAGACATGGTCAAATCGAACTTTTGAACTTTTTAAATGCATTTCAGGTTTTTTTTTAATTATATGCACTTATAAATTTTATTTGAATATAAAAAAAAATTTCTAACATAAGTTTTTAATTAAAATTCTTTAAATTAAATTTTATATTTTTTATTTTTATTATAGCAATTATAAAATTTATTACCTACATATATGATTTTGTATTGAGCACGTAATTGTGCAAGACTATGGTATACAGTGTTATTCAAAGGCGCATTTTCTATGATTCAATTAAAATATTGTATAATGTATGTACAATACTTAAAATAAGCTCTATTATATACAAATATGTGTCATAATTATTATATAAATTCCGGATAAAAACAAAACTTAAACGAAGAGTTAAGAAAACGGTAAATTTGAAGGTTAATTGTCAACATACTATCTAGACATATGGAAAAAATGGAAAGAACAGGTATAAAGTAACTGTTAATTTCAATAACTATTGTTTTATTATAATTTTTAGTAGAAGAAGCAATACGATTAATTTTAATAAGCCCGGAATTTTTGGGAAAATTAATAAACAAAATTTTCAAAACATGTCAATACTTTTCATTGAGGAGTCATAATTTTTAAAATGGGTAAGATAGGAAGCACTTTCTTGTATAGAGAAATAGATTTTTCAACAAGATTCATTCGAGTATATAATTTTAGTTTTCTATCATTTGATGCATAGACGGACAGAGTAAAACCAATTTTCTTTCTAATGTTATGGCAATGTGCTTAATATGAATAAAATATGTGCTTAAGTCAAATAATTATTTTTCAAGAGAAATCACACAAGTTCGAAATATTGATTTAGAAACTTGTTTTAATAATATCAATAAAAATTTTAATAACATTTTCATTAATAATATTAAATATTATCATTTGGTTGTATAATTGTGTAGATATACATAAATATTATATGTGCATTCCATAATATAGATGGCATTCAAATACGTGCATATGTATATCATTTTTGTACTAAGAGAAATAGCAAAGATAAATTTTATGATTTTAGGATTTTATTATAAAAGTAATATCGTAAATTTTATATTTAAATAATTTAATGCGATATTAGAATGGAATGCAATTTAAATATTTTGTAATAAGATTTTAGTCATGGTAATATGGGAATATAAACACACATTTATATTAATTATATTAGAACTACATTGTATGTATGTAAACAAAATTTAAAATTTATAAAATCGAGAATAAATTTCGGTGGCCGCACAGTTTTAAATTTGAAATCGATAAAGTTTAAGAACTATGTTATGTACGTACACATGATCTTAAAGCAACACACAATCGTACACAATAGTTGAATAAACTTAATTTTACATTCGTAATAGTTATATGATCATTGTTAAATGCAAATTATTTTTGGTGTAAAAAAACTTTTTATACATGAATGAGTTCCATTGCATTTTTGTTTTCATTAATTATTCAATCAAATTATAAATATTATATACAGTGATGTAAGTATATACATATATTCATTTTGATTAAGATGATCATTCACCCAAGCATATGTGTTATGACATTACGAAATATTATTATATGAATTTGCATGTTATAATAAATTTAATTGCATATTGTAACGGAAAAATTTGAAGATTCACGAAAACAATATAAAAAATTCAATCAACATCATTAAATTTACAAATAATTAATTCTCACGTTATAATCAATCACCTTGTGTAATAACGTATTTATTATAAAATGAATGCAAGTAACAAAATTAATTTTTAATATATATACATACGTACATACATATTTAATTATTTATAATATAATAAAAATTTCACAATTAAATTTTATAATTTTTTTTTATTTAATTACTTTAATTGGCTCTTTTTTTACATTTTAAAAAATATTCTGAATTTATGGTTGTAAATGATTTTAATGCCGATATTATAAATTAATATTTTAATTATTACAGTGTGCCTTGAATAAGATTTAATAATGTTATTTACATTAATTAGTTAATTCATAAAATTGGTAAATAAATTCAATTTCTTGCAAATATTTTAAAAATGACTAAAAAATTTTTATTCAAACGTCGCGATAGCCCTAATCCCTATCGTACGTATTATAATACATTATAGGGGTCAACATTATAATTTTACTATATATATATATATACATATATCTATCTATATATCTATATATCTATCTATATATATATATATATATATATATATATATATATCTATATATACATATATATATCTATATGTATATATATATATATATATATATATATATATATATATATATATATATATATATATATATATATCTTTATGTATGTATACCATATTTATGTGACACATAATATTGACATTACCATTCGATTAATCTTTGAAATAAGAAAATCTGCAAACTTTTCATTTCAAAATAAAATCGGGGAAGTTGGAAACTGTAACTGTAAAACATATATATATGTACATATAATGTAGGTATAACAGATGAGACTACGTATATTCACCTCGTAAGTATACTGAGGTGAATTCAAAATTTTTTTATGATGGTAAAATCGAGTATATCCGAATGAAATTTTCTATCAAACAAAATAAAGTGGTTTTATGTTGTTTCAGAAATCAAGTCGAAATTTTGAAGCACAAGGCATAAAATTTGAAATACAGAGTTCACAATCTTATAGATTCTATTCTACCTTTGAGAATTGGGACATTTTTGATGAAAGAATGCAGGCTTTCGATTTTAAAATTCTAAGTAAATTAAAAATTACTGATATATTCTTAAGCAAATTGGTAAAAAATTATGTGCATACATACGATCATACATACATATATATATTTAAATTACATTTGTTTTATAGATTATTAAATTAACGAATATTGCTTATAATCGCTAAATATGAAAAATTAACTAATACTTTTTTGTTATGTAAAATCCAAGTTTTATACATAATAGTTTTATAATTAAGCATGTTATTAAAAAATTCATATATTGTAAATTTTCTTACAAAACTTTCATTTATGTATTCCAATTTTCCATTTCATATTCTTTCGAGTTGCAGAACTAATCTTAATTTTTTTTTTAATTTATAAACACACTTATATCTTTTATAAGAATTTGAAAAAAACTTTTCTATCCGACTTTTCCTCCTATACATTTGTTATACACTGCTCCATAACAAAAAAAAAAACAAAATGATATACATATATGTTATATACATAATTTATTTTATATATATAAGTATTCGAATCTAGTGGTATTATACTCGTATTAAGGAGATTTAATTCTAAACTAAAAAAGAAAAATTAATGGATTTTAATCTTACTAAGTCGAATATCATGATTTATGACCTTAGAAATTTAAATACTCTTAAATACTTTTCTCCCATAAAAAAAGAAGATAATGTTTTATTAAAAATTTCTTCTTTATATTAACAGTATAATAAAAATTTTATTTTTATAGTTGCTCTTGCCATAAAGTTTAAGATATTAAAAATTATACCATAGATGTATATGTATGAATATTGTACCATAAAAATTTGGAACACCAATTTGTCATAATCGTTTTTACCACCCAGTTAGTCTTATAGATACATGTAGCTACAATTATGTACAAAATCTAGAAATCGAATTTCGCAGTGACAGAATTTTAAAAGTGATTTCTGTTATATTCCAATCCGGTGTACGCTTGTTTTTTAAATTTTAAATTGCAGTTCACCTCAAACGGGAAGAAATTGAAATTATATTTTTTAAAATTAATATATCGCTCATTAGCAACAGTGAAATAACTCATAAAATATACGATATTTGATTTATTTTTGTAGAAATAAGAACCTAAAACATTTCTTTCTTGTATTATAAATAACTAATATTATTTATGACTTCAAAATTCGATTTTCTCAAATGGGCAAATTTTGAGTTATGTCAGTGTTATGAATATGTTTAGAAAGAAAAATTTAAGAGCTTATTAAAAAGTTTTCTTCTCTCATAATAATTTGTGTGAGAGACATCGTATAGAAAGAATAATGAGATTTTGAGAAGTGTTGCGTATTGCGATTCGTCACTGGTTTTGAAAGTTTACCATTATCACACTTTGTGTTAAATCAAGTTACAATATTTATTATAAGAATGGATTGAACAATTATAATAGTATAATTGTTTTATTTTATTATATTATAATTGACTTGAAATATTTCTCCTATATTGTAATATAATACAAATAATTATTTAATTTTAAGAAAATAATTAGATTAACATCATATACCATTTATAAAATTACCAATTTCTATACTACTTCCAAAAATTACAGAAATTTTTTGATCTTTTATAATATATGTAGATAAAAATTATTTAAAAATATTTTTATTTTGGGAACTTTTACATACTAAAATGTGCAAACAAAAAATATATAAAAAAAACTCTAAAACTAATTATAATCATATCATTAGCGGAAGTGAAAAAATAACAAAAAAAAAATTATAAAATCTAATAAATTTTTGCCCTTTGTTTAACAAAAATCAATTTACTATATAGAAAAGAATTAACTTCCTGGGTGAAAGCAAACATAAATGTATAAAAGTAGAAATTTTCAAAAAATATAATTTAATTGTTATACAGAATTTTTCATGTTATATGCACATAACTAGATTAATTTTGTGAT